AGCCTGGTGGAGCCGCACATTCCCACTTTGTAAAAGGGTAGATGCATGGAGCCACACTCTCCCCCTCGGTGGGTGGGCAGACGGGAGTAGGGTATATGGGTGGAGCCATACGCTCCCGTTCAGAAGGGTAAATGGATGGAGCCATGCGCTCCCACCCAGAAGACGGGTAAACGGGTGGAGCCTTCCATTGCTGACTAATAGTGGTGCCTTCAGTAGGCTGTTGGGGTGTCAGGGGAAGAACAAGAGCATCTTCTCCAGGAGGAATTCCATGATAGTATGGCTGTACTTTGATAGGGAGAAAATTCCTCTCAAAACCACATGTGTCGGAGCCGTAGCCTGACTTTACTGAAAACACGTTTCTATTTTCGAACTCAACTGCCTTTTCCTGGTGTGTTTGAATAGGGTGATATGTTGAGGCCTTGTTTCGTCCCTCGAAGAACTGAATGGCTGCCCCTTGCTGGTTTACTGGTACAAAGGTCGGCACGGTGGGTCTGGTATGTGGAATCTGATTATAGATCCGATTTGGACTAACCACCAGTTGTCCCTGGTGAGAGATTATTTGTTGATTCGATGACAGTTTGTGAATGGTGAAGGGATCTGACTTCTGGTAGGGTTTTAGCCTCCGGAAACCCCTCCTAGGTGGCAATGCAGTCTGTACCGGATTATTGATGCTTGTGGCTACGGTTGGTGGAACGGAAGCTGGGGGATCAGCTAAATGCAGATGTTTCAGCATACCCATCGGTGATGCGACATGTATCCCTGGACTGATCGTCTGGCTGATCCTCGTAGATTTTCGGCTGATTCGAGTGTTCCTGGGCCTCGTGGGCTGAGAGGGTTCAAACAGCCGGAAAGGATTCACTTCATTCTTCTTCTTTTTGTCCTTGCACGCCTGCTGGGGCTTCTTCGACCAAGGAAGCTGGTAGACGGGATTGTCAGATACATAGCGAGGACTGACTGTTGGCTGCTGTCGGCTTGGCAGGGAGATAGATTCTAGAGGTATTCTCATGGGAACAATAACCGAGTTTGTTCTGACGTCAACAGGACACAGCTGGTCGTTGAACATAACTTGTGGCAAAGGGTTCATGTCTGCAACAGAACAAAAATATTATACATGTACGTCAGTTCTTACCGACAGCATCTTGACACATAAACATACAAATGACACGGTGTGTTAGATTACTTTATTTGGTTGTCCTTGGGAATGGGAACAAAGTAATCACGGACTGCTTGTTTGTCTGTCTGTCCTCTGTGTAATAGAAACTACTATGTACTACTATTTGTTATGTCTGTGTTATATGTCTTATATTCAGTCTACCGGCCCTGTCACCAAAATGTATAAAATCATTGTGATCTTCATATGCCGTTGTCTTACGGCTTGAAAAGCAATAAAGTTCGGTTCTGCCCATGCCTGTACGCGCTTAATCATACTTGACTGAGTTCGGTTCGATGACGCTTTGAGTCGTCCAGTTGTACACGAGCGATGTAAGGAAGTACACTAAACGCCAAAAGACAAGTTACCCTCCTTAATTTATGAATTACTTAAAAAGTATCAAGGATATGTTAGAAAGGTATTAGTTTACAAGAAAGCTTAACAACATAGCTTTATGCAAATCACGAAAAAGAATTCTCAAATGCATTGAATTTCATATTTGGGTGAAATGCATCTTTTTCAGAAGAGTTAAATTGTCCTATTTTCGACCATGCCGAAATAAACCAATAAGTTGCAATAACAGTGATTTAGATGTCCAAAAAAAGGTTGAAATACAATTCTGCTTTGAGACAAAGATAAACCATTTAAAGTCGCCATTTTTCAACTATTAAAACAAGAAATAACTGTTGTAGATTGTGTAAAATTGTAAAAGAATCTTTCCTAAGATTTTAGTCTATTAAAACATTTTCTGCGGATTTGCATTAGTGAAAGCATGTTGTGAAAAAGTGTATAGGAACACCTAAAATTAACTTTGTTAACGTTTTTGCTTGCAAAGTAACATCTTTCCATTTTCTGTTTACACATAGCAATATCAATCGCCAAAACGTAGCAATATTCAAGCAGTATTTGCATCAATTTCACGTGTAGAATTATTCTATCGGGAATGAAGATAGCCTGGAATGCATGATATGATACACAAGTACGAGAAATATACCACTGATTTTTTTGGAGAAAATTGTGATGCACGTGCAGTTCATGGTATAAAGCATAGCACATGCAAAGTTCAGCATGCAGTCAACAGGAAATTTAGTACAGGCATTGAGAGAGGAATGGAGAGCAATTCCCAATGACGTCATCAGACGTCTGACGTCGTCAGTACGTCGTCGAGTGAATGCCTGCATAAACGCACATGGTGGACATACTCGATATTGAATTTGCTTACCCAGTGTGTGACATTTACCACAGTTATTGTGTGTTGAATGATGTGAACTGTTACTTGACAATTAAGATTTTACACCAACTGACTTGTGATGAGCGTAGTGGCCAAATCTTACCAGTAATTTTATTTTTCATAACTGATAATATTGACTAAATGTTTGTGCTCCAAGAATAAACTGATTCTATTAAGCTCGTGTTTGTACTTTTTCGAAAATTTGAAAATAATAATCGGTATAGTTTCTTTTGATCGTCAGTTTATATACATGTATTTGTTAAATAGGAATCTACCGGAAATTACGTATTTGTATTGGGAAACGACACAAATGCGGATAAACGACGTGTTTGTTGTATCGATATTTCATAGAGGCTACGGTATTCCATAGGCGGATCCAGAAATTCAAAGGGGTTGGGGTTCACACACACACACACACACACACACAGAGGCACTGGATCCGCCACTTTATTCAGTTGTGAAATAAATCAAAGTTGCATTCGTTTTGGTTTGGTAAAATACTCCTAGACCAAATGTAGAGATAACATCATTATCAGGTAATATGATACACCAGGCCTTATCACCCATACTGCATATCCTGATCATGTTGAACATCAGTGCTTGTCATCGTCCCCTGCGGTTAATACTCTTAGAGCTGTGTATCGTGGTCTAAGTGGCGAGACGATATATCCCGATACCAGTTTAATTAGGCGAGACGATATATCATGAAAGTATTGGCAAGGAACCTGCGAGACGATTATCATCACGATAAATGGTGGCGATACGATACGTATCCCGATACTTTACAATTTCTAATAGCAGAACATATATGATAGATAAAATGACTGAATCTTTATTTGTTATACAGCAGATCTTGTGTTACATTCACACACACTTAAAAGCTGTTCATTTAATAAAGTTTCAGCATTTAATGCTTTTAAAGTACAGTCAAACATATTCAGTATACTTTGATCTAACATATATGTTTGAAACCGAAGTTTCCTTTGGGAAGATGTGTTTCTGCACCGATGCTTTCACAAACAATTGAATGTAATTTATATCAGAATTCAGAATCACTGAAAAAAACTCTTAAGTATGCTTTCTAAATTTTATCTTCTCTTTGTTCTCTTTCTTAACAAAGCTAAGACATCGTTCATAGTTGTTAATAAATGGTGTTATTTGTCAAACAACTAAAACATATTTCAATTACTAAAGACAAGTATTCTACAGTTCACAGAGTTTGAAAAATGTTCACACTCTTTCTTATACACCAACTCCTTTGTCCATGTAACAAAGATAACAGACACAAACAAATTCCTAAAAGGTTCAATTTGTTTTTAAAATTCAGAAGAATTTCAAAGAGACTCCCTTCCTATTCCTAATGCAATACTCCTTACAACTTTAACTAGTATTGAAGTTGTATTGGGATATATCGTCTCTTGTGGCGATACATCGATGTATCGTGGACCCTTGCGATATAAATATCCTGATATATTGCCTAAATGTGTTTTGTATCGATGCACTCGTATCGCGTAGTTGACGATGCAAACATCGATACTATCGATGAATCGTTACACCACTAATACTCATGAAGTTGTTCTATGAACATGTGGACACTGTTTCAACAGCGGGTAAACCTTGTTTGTTTTCAGCAACCTGATACATCCTGTGTATAGTTCCACATTGACAAGAATCTCTGGAGGGTGGGAGTTGTCATACCAGTTACTGGATAAAGCTTTTACTGCTGCTGAGAGATCCTAAAAGATAGGGACTTTTCTAACATTTGGCCTAGGACTAAAAATGAGAATCTTGGATGGCGTGTTACAGACCTTGAACATAAAGGGAGGTCACTCTAAACGGCCATCAACCCAAATATGAGCACATGCTAGAGATGACGTCATTTTATTCTACCTTGATGCATTTCATTATGAATTCAGTAATCATCATATCTTTTAAGCCTTCAGTCTCAATTTACACGTTGTTAAAGGATGATAAAAACTATTCAGGGATAGCTAGATATATTTGGTCAGTCTGCTGGCAACAGACGTTCAGACTGAAACATCCAGCTTGACAGATCTAAGAATACGCCTAATCATTTCGTAAATTTGGAATCGATTATGTTGTTAGGAAAATGGTTCTACCTGTGTGTGCACTGTCCATCAATACGCCTATACTGGCCGTGGGATGGGTACGTTCTGTACAGTTGATTGTAGACACTATTGGCGCGAAGACCGCACGGTCCGTGAACGTAAGTAATGGCGGGTCGTTCGAAGTACCCGGATTATAAGAGTTATGACTTTCAAAACATTCCGGTACTTTGGTCCAAGTTCGATTCCCAGTTCACTGACATTATTTTCACCGAGTAAACATCTCCAACACATTTCTTTTCCTTATCCAATTATTCAATACACATATTTTAAATAATTATTTTATTTTATTTCTCGGACATACTTTCTATAAAGTTGCAAATGTACATGAAAAATACACCAGTTATATGAGTGACCTCACATTAGTGACGTTCGTGTGTACTCGAGTGACACGAGGCTGCTATCTGCACATATGTGCGTATTGTCATCATACGAGCATGTGAACGTTATCATCGTGTTATCTCAAGCCACACTTCGCTGTCTCATCTTCTAAATAAGGACGAACGTCGGCAAAGTTGCATCAGTTGATTAAAACTCCTGTGGGATTTCAGGATATTTGCTGATCACTTCCACAATGCTTCTACTATTGTGTATATGCTTGAGTGTTGTAACATCAGGATATGGTGACAACAGCCGTCCGCTCGGCTACACCGAGGTTCTGGTAAGAGCTCACTCCCCTCCAGAGAGAAGATCGTCAACAGTGATCTCTACCGTACGACAGTAGAGGAACTAGTTCGTTCGATAAAGCCTGATCGACTTCTACAACTTGGCCAATACCTTCAAGATGAGGACGTGTCTGTGATGAATCTGCTTCAGTTGGACGCTGACCCAGAGAACGAGACAGAGAAGGTGCCCTCTGACTTGTGTTCTAACAATACTGGGCTCATCCTGACCCAGGCGGCCGCGGGAGATCGATGGGCACTAGCCAGTATGTGAAGCTTCATGTTCGACTATTTTGAGAGAGTGGGGAATTAGTTTTACGCCAGATCACAAACTATTTCAGCTCTACTCTGGTTTGGTAGGGGCTCCAGTCGGCGTTTACCCACGGGCACTCTAATAAACCAAGGTCCGTATGTCGGGATTCGAACCGTTGTGAATGGATCGTGTTTTTGTTTGGTAAACGTCATCTCTCAGGGAGATGCAGTGAGTCTCCACAGTATAACCTAACATGTTAGACTATGTGGGCGGTATGTTTGGGAGAACCAGTTAAGTTAACTTGTTAATAGAAACCTGCAGTGTTTGATATTCTATTAGAGTAGAGATTACTTGTTAATAGAAACCTGCAGTGTTTGATATTCTATTAGAGTAGAGATTACAAGAGCACGTATAGTACGGGATGAGGTATTTGTGTCTATTCGAAATGGGTTAGTTGTGTCTAGTCGGAATGGGTTACATGTGTCTAGACGGAATAGGTGAGATGTGTCTTGACAGAATGGGTAAGTTGGGTCTAGACGAAATAGGTTATATGTGTCTCGACGGAATAGGTTGTTTGTGTCTAGACGGGATAGGTTAGTTGTAATATGGGTTAGATGTAATGGGTAATATGTGTCTAGATGGAATGGGTTGTATGTGTCTGGATGCAATGGGTTATATGTGTCTAGACAGAATTAGTAAGTTGTTTCTAGACGGAAATAGTTATGTGTGTCTAGACGGAATAGGTTAGTTGTAATAGAAGGAATGGGTAATGGGTAATATGTGTCTAGAAGGAATGGGTTGTATGTCTAGAAGGAATTCTAAAAAGGAATGGGTTATATGTGTCTAGATGGAATGGGTTATAAGTGTCTAGACGGAATGGGTTATATATGTGTCTTAACGGAATGATTTATATGTGTCTAGACGAAATGGGTTATATGTGTCTAGACGGAATGGGTTATATGTGTCTAGACGGAATGGGTTAGTTGTGTCTAGACGGAATGTGTTATATGTGTCTAGGCGAAATGGGTTATATGTGTCTAGATGGAATGGGTTAGTTGTGTCTAGACGGAATGGGTTAGTTGTGTCTAGACGGAATGTGCTATATGTGTCTAGACGGAATGGGTTATATGTGTCTAGACGGAATGGGTTAGAAGGATATGTTAGTCTAGAACGGAATGGGTTATATGTGTCTAGGCAGAATGGGTTATATGTGTCTAGGCGAAATGGGTTATATGTATCTAGATGGAATGGGTTAGTCGTGTCTAAATGGAATGGGTTAGTTGTGTCTAGACGGAATGGGTTAGTTGTGTCTAGACGGAATGGAGACGAATTACGTCGGGCCTCGCAATAACATCCAATTGTATTATCTAATTGTATTACCTGTATTGACTGTGTAAAATCTATGGATAGATATGTAAAATTATTTTCATCGAACCTCCATTCTGACTGTGCGAAAGTTGTGAAGGCGTTTTATTCTTTCGTACTCTGCTTGTCGCATGCATGGCGTCTCTTAGATACACCAGGATCCGCTGTTTATAATTTCGAATCCCAGGGTGTAAACATGTTAGTACATACTTTAGAAACGTTCAAAGCCTATGTACCGATTTGATTCACTCAGTCATACATTGATCTAGATTCTGACACAGTAATATGTCTCCCACGGGAATGCGTCTGGCTGGTCCTTTCTTTGCTAGACTGTCTGTCCGTTCTCGTATGGCCAAATTTGTCTATTTGTCTGTCTCCTAACTGAATGCTCTTACACTAGTGCTAGACGCCGCGGCTAAGCCCGACAGCAACATACTTGGAGGTCAGGTGACGTGGGTAGGGTCCTACTTGGAGTGCATTGAGACACGAGCCACGATCTACCCCGGGCCCAAAATTGAGACTGAACCGGAGGTGCTGTATGAAGGTCAATACTGCACCTCAGCGCTGCCCCTAACACCCGGCACACCACAGGTGAGACTATGCCGTTACACATCTGACCTTCCCTGTATACCCCTGTATGGGCCTCTGTAACCTACGGCTGTATCTGGGTAATACTGAGTCTCCAGTGAGGCTGTATACTGAGTCTCCAGTAAGGCTGTATACTGAGTCTCCAGTAAGGCTGTATACTGAGTCTCCAGTGAGGCTGTATACTGAGTCTCCAGTGAGGCTGTATACTGAGTCTCCAGTGAGGCTGTATACTGAGTCTCCAGTGAGGCTGTATACTGAGTCTCCAGTGAGGCTGTATACTGAGTCTCCAGTGAGGCTGTATACTGAGTCTCCAGTGAGGCTGTATACTGAGTCTCCAGTGAGGCTGTATACTGAGTCTCCAGTGAGGCTGTATACTGAGTCTCCAGTGAGGCTGTATACTGAGTCTCCAGTGAGGCTGTATACTGAGTCTCCAGTGAGGCTGTATACTGAGTCTCCAGTGAGGCTGTATACTGAGTCTCCAGTGAGGCTGTATACTGAGTCTCCAGTGAGGCTGTATGTACTGAGGCTCTCCAGTGAGGCTGTATACTGAGTCTCCAGTGAGGCTGTATACTCCAGAGTCTCCAGTGAGGCTGTATACTGAGTCTCCAGTGAGGTCTGTATGTATACTGAGTCTCCAGTGAGGCTGTATACTGAGTCTCTCAGTGAGGCTGTATACTGAGTCTCCAGTGAGGCTGTATACTGAGTCTCCAGTGAGGCTGTATACTGAGTCTCCAGTGAGGCTGTATACTCCAGTGAGTCTCCAGTGTATACCGGTCTCCAGTGTATAGTCTCAGAGGCTCTCTCAGTGAGGCTGTATACCGAGTCTCCAGTGAGGCTGTATACTGAGTCTCCAGTGAGGCTGTATACTGAGTGAGGCTCCTCCAGTAAGGCTGTATACTGAGTCTCCAGTGAGGCTGTATACTATGTACTCCAGAGTCTCCAGTGAGGCTGTATACTGAGTCTCCAGTGAAGGCTGTATACTGAGTCTCCAGTGAGGCTGTATACTGAGTCTCCAGTGAGGCTGTATACTGAGGCTGTATACTCTCAGTGAGGCTGTATACTGAGTCTCCAGTGAGGCTGTATACTGAGTCTCCAGTGAGGCTGTATACTGAGTCTCCAGTGAGGCTGTATACTGAGTCTCCAGTGAGGCTGTATACTGAGTCTGAGGCTGTATACTGAGTCTCCAGTGAGGCTGTATCCTGAGTCTCCAGTGAGGCTGTATACTGAGTCTCCAGTGAGGCTGTATACTGAGTCTCCAGTGAGGCTGTATACTGAGTCTCCAGTGAGGCTGTATACCGAGTCTCCAGTGAGGCTGTATACTGAGTCTCCAGTGAGGCTGTATACTGAGTCTCCAGTGAGGCTGTATACTGAGTCTCCAGTGAGGCTGTATACTGAGTCTCCAGTGAGGCTGTATACTGAGTCTCCAGTGAGGCTGTATACTGAGTCTCCAGTGAGGCTGTATACCGAGTCTCCAGTGAGGCTGTATACCGAGTCTCAGTGTATACCGGTCTGTAGGCTGAGGCTGTATACTGAGTCTCCAGTGAGGCTGTATACTGAGTCTCCAGTGAGGCTGTATACTGAGTCTCCAGTGAGGCTGTATACTGAGTCTCCAGTGAGGCTGTATACTGAGTCTCCAGTGAGGCTGTATACCGAGTCTCCAGTAAGGCTGTATACTGAGTCTCCAGTGAGGCTGTATACCGAGTCTCCAGTAAAGCGGCATAGTAAGTTGCCTTAGGCCGTTTAGTTATCCGCCTTGGACTGTATAACTAATTTGCTGTCAAGAGGTAGTTGTTTGCCCCAAAGCCTGTGTAATGAATCACTTTTATGACTACCCAATTATTCACTGTAAGGCACTATAGTGGATCGCCTGAGTGGGTGTATACAAAAACTCTTAACATCTTTTCCAGACCGCGGGGTTTGGAGAGTCATATCCTGGAATCAAGATCGGCGTCTGTTTTCCTAGCACCTGCTCAGAAGCTGATGTCACTGCCCTTCTCAATGCAGGTAGGAATGTCAACTTCGTTCTCTCTCAGATCACGTAAACCTGTCTTGTTGAGATGCTTGTAAGGCTGTATAGTGAGTTACCTGCAAGGTTTGTTTTAAGGTCCATGTTTATTGAGTCGTCTGTAAGACTGTGTAGTGATTGGCCTTTAATGGCGATATGGTGAGTCGCCTGTACAATATCATGGCGTTCTGTCCCCAGTGCTGGATAGAGTCAATACCAGCCTCAAGGTGGGAGCCTTCAGTGTTGTATAGTGATTCACTGTAGGACTGTACATATTGTGAGTCGCTTGTAAGGCTGTATGGCGAGTTGTCTGTACAATATCATGGTGATCTGTCCCCAGTGCTGGAGACAGCCAATACCAGCCTCAGGGTGGGATCCACCGTCTGCCAGAAGAAGACACAAGACTACAACGCCAACGCCATCATTGTACTGTGAGTACGCTGAATCCTGACTTAATGTTATGTTACGGTGCATATTCCAACCATATAACGTCGGTATATATGTAATCTAGCTTCGTACACCAATGGTTGACAGCACAGGGTGAAATCCCAGACATCTGGACGTGACACCATCAGTGGGCTGCCGAATCTCCTGTAGTGTAAACAGGAAATACGTCATATAGGGAACCTCCCAGTTTGGTTCCTGTTGTGTATACCGGAAGAAACACATACCCTCGTAAAGCTCGGCACAACCATTTCCCTACAGGTTGGTCCTGTCACTGTTTGTGACGGTGATGGTAACGGCCACGATGTACGACATCGTGTGGGTGCAGATGCCGAAATGGGAGATGGAGAAACAGAAAGCAGCAGGAGATGTGGGGACCACGGTCAACATCAAGGACACATCGGAGTCCATAGAGACGACACCTCTGTTGAAGGACAAAACAGCGTCGCAGCAACTGTCCCGGACAACAGGTAAGCCCAGAGAAGGTGAAATGTTTGCTTCGTGTGTGTGCGTTCACTGTTCACCTATAACAGCTGTCGATAATGTTTGCGAATGTTATGTTTTATTCAGTTGCATTAAGGCATTAAGGTAGAGGATGAAGATTGTACTCAGTAATAGTATTTCTTAGGCATGTTACGTTTACAGAATTACATATTAATGCTACGGTGATAATGAACGCCATAATGTTACGGTAATATTATTACATCATACTGTTATGGTCATCATAATGCTAAACAATGTTACAGTTAAAGAATCAAGTTATAATGTCACGGTAATATTATTACATCATACTGTTGAGGTCATCATAATGCTAAACAATGTTACAGTTAAAGAATCAAGTTATAATGTCACGGTAATATTATTACATCATACTGTTGTGGTCATCATAATGCTAAACAATGTTACGGTTGAAGAATCAAGTTATAATGTCACGGTAATATTATTACATCATACTGTTGTGGTCATCATAATGCTAAACAATGTTACGGTTAAAGAATCAAGTTATAATGTCACGGTAATATTATTACATCATACTGTTATGGTCATCATAATGCTAAACAATGTTACGGTTAAAGAATCAAGTTATAATGTCACGGTAATATTATTACATCATACTGTTATGGTCGTCATAATGCTAAACAATGTTACGGTTAAAGAATCAAGTTATAATGTCACGGTAATATTATTACATCATACTGTTATGGTCGTCATAATGCTAAACAATGTTACGGTTAAAGAATCAAGTTATAATGTCACGGTAATATTATTACATCATACTGTTGTGGTCATCATAATGCTAAACAATGTTACGGTTAAAGAATCAAGTTATAATGTCACGGTAATATTATTACATCATACTGTTATGGTCGTCATAATGCTAAACAATGTTACGGTTAAAGAATCAAGTTATAATGTCACGGTAATATTATTACATCATACTGTTGTGGTCATCATAATGCTAAACAATGTTACGGTTAAAGAATCAAGTTATAATGTCACGGTAATATTATTACATCATATGTTGTGGTCACATAATGCTAAACAATGTTACGGTTAAAGAATCAAGTTATAATGTCACGGTAATATTATTACATCATACTGTTGTGGTCATCATAATGCTAAACAAAGTTAAACAATGTCACGGTAATATTATTACATCATACTGTTGTGGTCATCATAATGCGGTTACGGTTAAAGAATCAAGTTATAATGTCACGGTAATATTATTACATCATACTGTTATGGTCATCTGTTGTTACGGTTAAAGAATCATTATAATGTCAATATTATTACATCATACTGTTATGGTCATCATAATGGTTAAAAGAATCAAGTTATAATGTCACGGTAATATTATTACATCATACTGTTGTGGTCATCATAATGCTAAACAATGTTACGGTTAAAGAATCAAGTTATAATGTCACGGTAATATTATTACATCATACTGTTGTGGTCATCATAATGCTAAACAATGTTACGGTTAAAGAATCAAGTTATAATGTCACGGTAATATTATTACATCACACTGTTATGGTCGTCATGATGCTAAACAATGTTACGGTTAAAGAATCAAGTTATAATGTCACGGTAATATTATTACATCATACTGTTGTGGTCATCATAATGCTAAAAAATGTTACGGTTAAAGAATCAAGTTATAATGTCACGGTGATAATATTACTTATAATTGTCTGTTGCGGTGGGGTAGCCTAGTGGGGAAAGCGTTCGCTCGACACGCCAAAGCTCGTTTCTCAATATCCGTCGAAAATGTGAAACTCATTTTTGGTGTCCCCGCCGTCATACTTTTTTAAATTGATATTACTGATATTGCTAAAAGCGGCTAACTACCGTGATTGTGTTGTAGGTGTTGCCGCTCAGATGTTGTTGTCCTTCTCTGTGTACACCAACACCGTCAAACTGTTGTCCCTGTCCCAGCCCCCGGGATCCATCTCCAGCATCCACGGGATCAGGTTCTTCAGCATGACCTGGGTCATCCTCGGACACTCCTTGGCCTTCGCTACTGGAGCCTCGCGTGCGTCCAACACTTTTACTTTATAGTTGTTATGTTGATCTCATTTGTTGTGCCCTCCTTTAACTTCTGTATCTGCTGGTCGGTGGTTCGAATCCCAGATCGAGCAAAACATGATCCTTGGTTTGTCAGCTCAAGCTGGTGTCAAGGAAAACATGATCTTTTGTTTGTCAGCTCAAGCTGGTGTCAAGGGAACATCGCTGAACATTGGCATCTCTGTATATGTGTGGCGTGACGTGTGTGTGTGTGTGCGTGCGTGCGTGCGTGCGTGCGTGCGTGCGTGTGCGTGCGTTCACTGTTCGCCTTATATATCATATGTAAATTTTGTCTTCCTGTTTTAGAAAATGCGGCTTCCTACATTCCAAGGGCTTTAAAGCACTGGTCGTTCCAAGCCATTGCTAACGCCACCGTGGCTGTAGACACTTTCTTCACTCTCAGGTAAGCCCTGCTTAGATCAGATCTTAGATCAGAACGGGCTCACTCGGGGTTGTTAAGTTGGACAGCTATCTGCATATCCCACTTAAGTCACATCATACCTCAGGTAAGTCACATCATATCCCAGTTAAGTCACATCATATGTCAACAAGTAAGACACTTCGAGCTCCAAAGCACCTTCCTCATTTCAATTCCCACTGCACTTAACAACCGATAAAAACATAATTACACACTGTCAGTATATCTTCATATAGTTAATACATACTGATAGAAACAGAGAACAGACAAACGTCGCTATGTAGCTCGAAAATGTCCTCGGCGCGGTTCATAAACTTCCATAACCTGGAAAAACGCAGGCCTTGCCTTTCTAAGCTTCGTTACTGTAATTGATTTCACCATATTTTTGTTCATTAAATGAATAGGGACTGGTGAACAAGCTGTCACAGCTCAACACCGATCCCGTTAGTCGCCTCTTACGTGTGTTTTGTGATACACGTGATTGTTACTGTATCTCATGGTACGTGGCAATAAACGCTGCCACCTTCTTGAGTATTACGATAGTTTGGAAGAATTTAAGACGTAGAAACTACTTCATCTATTTATCGTATAATAGGATATCACACCCTTTCATGTGAAGCCTGGTTAACGTAACGAGCGTGCGGTAAACCTATGTTATCACGATACGTTGCTCTTTGACTGATGGCATGATACAACAGACGGTCCACCATTTCACAGTGTGCGTGAGACTGTATTGTTGAACACATGAAAAGGTATATTATGTTAGCTTTGCATCAAAAGGTCTTATCATGTCAGTCTTTAATAGTATAACAGTAATTGTTCCATGCTGTATTCTGGCAGCGGTCTTCTGGTAGCTTACCTGGTGCTGAAGGAGCTGTCCCGCAACAAGGGCAAAATCAACTGGTTCATGTTCTACTTCCACAGATTCTGGAGGTAAGCACTGTACTATACAACACGTGAACCAATAAGATTTTACACAGCTTTAGAAATATTTCGGCAATAGCGCGGCAGTGGACTCCAGAAATGGGTTTATACATTGTACCAAGGTATGGAACCGAAGGCTTTTAATCCAAGTTATCCCACCCCATAGACTGTTAGATTAGTGTTCAGGCAACATGTTGACCTATGTCCTTGGTGGCAGGCTGACCCCTGCGTATATGCTGGTCATCACGGTGTACGTCCCACTGTTCAAACACTGGGGAGAAGGACCACTGTGGCCTCAGGCCGGCATTGAACCTACCAACTGCAAACAATGGTGGGGCAACCTCCTCTACATCAACAATATCCTCGACATAGAGAATCTGGTAAGGATATCTCAGTGGGTAACAAAGTAGGCGTCATATGTCTTAACACGACCGGTGTTTACTGCTCATCTTAATAGAAATACTTGAACATCTATTTGAAAAATTAGTATTTTCCATTTTGTGATGGAATTGTACTTACATGCTTATTGCGTTGTTTGAACTGGTTTGAACAGGCGTCTGGTGATGTTTCAGTGCATGAACTAGTACTGACGTGCGTCTGGTGATATTTCAGCGCATGAACTAGTACTGACGTGCGTCTGGTGATATTTCAGTGCATGAACTAGTACTGACCTGCGTCTGGTGATATTTCAGTGCATGAACTAGTACTGACGTGCGTCTGGTGATATTTCAATGCATGAACTAGTACTGACCTGCGTCTGGTGATATTTCAGTGCATGAACTAGTACTGACGTGCGTCTGGTGATATTTCAGTGCATGAACTAGTACTGACCTGCGTCTGGTGATATTTCAGTGCATGAACTAGTACTGACGTGCGTCTGGTGATATTTCAGTGCATGAACTAGTACTGACGTGCGTCTGGTGATATTTCAGTGCATGAACTAGTACTGACGTGCGTCTGCTGATATTTCAGTGCATGAACTAGTACTGACGTGCGTCTGGTGATATTTCAGTGCATGAACTAGTACTGACGTGCGTCTGCTGATATTTCAGTGCATGAACTAGTACTGACCTGCGTCTGGTGATATTTCAATGCATGAACTAGTACTGACCTGCGTCTGGTGATATTTCAGTGCATGAACTAGTACTGACGTTCGTCTGGTGATATTTCAGTGCATGAACTAGTACTGACGTTCGTCTGGTGATATTTCAGTGCATGAACTAGTACTGACGTGCGTCTGGTGATGTTTCAGTGCATGAACTAGTACTGACGTGCGTCTGGTGATATTTCAGTGCATGAACTATACTGACCTGCGTCTGGTCTGATGATTTTCAGTGCATGAACTAGTACTGACGTGCGTCTGGTGATATTTCAGTGCATGAACTAGTACTGACGTGCGTCTGCTGACGCAGATGTTTCAGTGCATGAACTAGTACTGACCTGCGTCTGGTGATATTTCAGTGCATGAACTAGTACTGACTCTGCGTCTGGTGATATTTCAGTGCATGAACTAGTACTGACGTGTGTCTGGTGATATTTCAGCGCATGAACTAGTACTGATGTGCGTCTGGTGATATTTCAGTGCATGAACTAGTACTGACGTGCGTCTGGTGATATTTCAGTGCATGAACTAGTACTGACGTGCGTCTGGTGATATTTCAGTGCATGAACTAGTACTGACCTGCGTCTGGTGATATTTCAGTGCATGAACTAGTACTGACCTGCGTCTGGTGATATTTCAGTGCATGAACTAGTACTGACCTGCGTCTGGTGATGTTTCAGTGCATGAACTAGTACTGACGTGCGTCTGGTGATATTTCAGTGCATGAACTAGTACTGACCTGCGTCTGGTGATATTTCAGTGCATGAACTAGTACTGACCTGCGTCTGGTGATATTTCAGTGCATGAACTAGTACTGACCTGCATCTGGTGATATTTCAATACATGAACTAGTACTGACCTGCGTCTGGTGATATTTCAGTGCATGAACTAGTACTGACATGCGTCTGGTGATATTTCAGTGCATGAACTAGTACTGACCTGCGTCTGGTGATATTTCAGTGCATGAACTAGTACTGACCTGCGTCTGGTGATATTTCAGTACATGAACTAGTACTGACCTGCATCTGGTGATATTTCAATACATGAACTAGTACTGACCTGCGTCTGGTGATATTTCAGTGCATGAACTAGTACTGACCTGCATCTGGTGATATTTCAGTGCATGAACTAGTACTGACCTGCATCTGGTGATATTTCAGTGCATGAACTAGTACTGACCTGCGTCTGGTGATATTTCAGTGCATGAACTAGTACTGACGTGCATCTGGTGATATTTCAGTGCATGAACTAGTACTGACCTGCGTCTGGTGATGTTTCAGTGCATGAACTAGTACTGACGTGCATCTGGTGATATTTCAGTGCATGAACTAGTACTGATCTGCGTCTGGTGATATTTCAATGCATGAACTAGTACTGACGTGCGTCTGCTAATATTTCAGTGCATGAACTAGTACTGACCTGCGTCTGGTGATATTTCAGTGCATGAACTAGTACTGATCTGCGTCTGGTGATATTTCAGTGCATGAACTAGTACTGACCTGCGCGTGCTGGTGATATTTCAGTGCATGAACTAGTACTGATCTGCTTCTGGTGATATTTCAGTGCATGAACTAGTACTGATCTGCGTCTGGTGATATTTCAATGCATGAACTAGTACTGACCTGCGTCTGGTGATATTTCAGTGCATGAACTAGTACTGATCTGCGTCTGGTGATATTTCAATGCATGAACTAGTACTGACGTGCGTCTGGTGATATTTCAGTGCATGAACTAGTACTGACGTGCGTCTGGTGATATTTCAGTGCATGAACTAGTACTGATCTGCGTCTGGTGATATTTCAATGCATGAACTAGTACTGATCTGCGTCTGGTGATATTTCAATGCATGAACTAGTACTGACCTGCGTCTGGTGATATTTCAGTGCATGAACTAGTACTGACGTGCGTCTGGTGATATTTCAGTGCATGAACTAGTACTGACGTGCGTCTGGTGATATTTCAGTGCATGAACTAGTACTGACCTGCGTCTGGTGATATTTCAATGCATGAACTAGTACTGACCTGCGTCTGGTGATATTTCAGTGCATGAACTAGTACTGACCTGCGTCTGGTGATATTTCAGTGCATGAACTAGTACTGATCTGCGTCTGGTGATATTTCAATGCATGAACTAGTACTGACGTGCGTCTGCTGACGCAGATGTTTCGGTGCATTAACTGGTTACGACGTACCGGGACTGCTCGTATTTATTTAGCCCGTGGGCTTAACAACGAAACACCTAACGTTTTTAAGCCCATGGGCGTAAATAAGATTATGAAGATGGAGTGATCTCCCTTACCGGATGATTACTGAAACGTGTTTACATGGAAAGTTTCAATCAATATTGCACACTTAGTGCTATTAGGGGATTTCATATTTACAAAACACGTTGGACATCTAAAATCGGTGAATTTTTGGACAGCCAAATTTTAATCTCAGTGCGATCATCTTAACCATTATGGCAAACACACTGTGTCTGCGTTAGACAATAACGTCACTGTAGGCCAGGTTCCTGTCCAACAGAGTAAGTTGTGTAACATCTTTCTCCAACATGGTGGTGCTATTCAACTGGAAATCGTGTCCAATAAGCCAACACGTTCTCATCTGCCACAAGGTGGTCTAGAAATTCCAGCTCTGATAATATTTAATGGGAGTGAAAAAGACATGAATAGATTGCCAAAACGTTTACAAGAAATACATGTAGATTATTAGACATGGCTTCAAGAAAATTGTCTATAGATCAGAAATTCTAAGATGCCTAGCTGTTAGAACAATCGAAAAAAAAAAAATACATTATGAGACAATAAAGGTATAGTTTTTTGATGACGTAACAATTGAATGACGTTATCCCGTCACTGCGCCATTCTAGTGTGTGCCTCCCTCGTAATCGAATTATTTTACATTACGTCACAATGTAAGTGACGTCACGATGCATGTCAGTTGTCATCGCCTCGTACGGCCTCCGCTACAGTAAACTACTCCGTTGCATCCCGTTTCTTGGTTTGCAGTTGCTTCACGCAGCTAACATCACTGGTGGAAACATTACGTTTATGTTTTACGACGGTTAAAATGTATCAATTCGACTCACAAGTTTTCAGCGACACGGTAACGTTCGCAATGTTTACATTCCCACAATGCAATCGTGGAATGTCGCTTGACTACTCAGCTTCATCTGGATGTACTGATCTAAACTTACGTTGGTAGAAGAAATGCGACGTTTATATTACCCCATATGGTTTACTTTAATGACAGATGTAATTAAAATAATTCAGAGAAGATATTTAATCCGAACGTAAACTGTCATCAAACTGTTATCATTTGTTTTTCTGGTAACGTTCGTCTTAACGTAGGGGGCAGCCACATCAATAGAACAGCGCACCAGTTAGCCCTGTGCGAGGATTCTTAATTTAGGTCACACCGACACCGTCATTTGTTTTCGTGGCCTTATGTTTTGTAATAAAGTATAGTTTTGCCCTGAACTATTATAACATCAAAGCGAATATCGAATGTTTTAGTGAAGTATAGTTTTGCCCTGAACTATTATAACACTCGGACTACCGTCCTCGTGCTTTAATTATAATAGTTCAGGGCAAAACTGTACTTTGTTTACAAAACACATTGGGGTAAAACTTTATTTCTTAATTAGAAGCTATTCGGAAGTTGAAATCGATACTTCAATCGTTTTGGTCAAGGGTTTTTTTATTAAACTTGGAATATTTTTATACTTCAATCGCCCTTGGGCTTTTAAGTTAAGTTCAAGTCAAATGTTACCCTGTTAAAACAGGCAAAATTGGTAATTAAGCCCTGGTCTTAAAGGCGTGCAGTCCCGGTACGTGTTTCAGTGCATGAATTTGTACTGACTTGCGTCTGGCGATGTTTCAGTGTATGAGCTGAAACTGACTTGTATCACGTGATGCTTCGGTTACGTTTTAGCTACGTTTTCTTTCAGTGTATGATCTCGTCGTATTCTCGGTACCCGTGTGTAGCGTTATTTCTGTTATGCCTGCTGTGTTGTTCCAGTGCATGGGTTGGTCCTGGTACCTGTCGAACGACATGCAGTTCTACATCCTCAGCCCCCTCGTCTTCATGCCGTTCTTCCAGTAAGTCACATATAGCCCTGTGTCAAGTGTCTAGTGGAACTTAACTATGTTCCTCCCCTTCCAGACACATGGGGCTTACCAACAACTGGGTTTACGCGTTATACAGATGTAGGCATTAAGACGAGCCAACAGTTTTGAAACCATATATCGCCCGAATATGATTTAAGTTTTCATCAACTAACATCATCCCAAACATCAGTATAGTAAACACCAAACTCCGTGTTCTAGTTCCTGGAAGGCAGGGACTGCGTCGGCGAATGACGTTCCTGCTGACGACGTTCATCACCTCCGGCATCATCTCCAAACATTACGGCCTCCCTGTCAGCATGTTAACCAACCCTGGGTGGGTAGCATTCCTAAGTCATTCCTATAATAGCTGAATGCGATTTGTACCGGTTTGGAATTACTGCTGGTTTACAGGACGATGGGCCGAAACTAGATAACACTGATATAAAATACAAAATGCACCCCTACTATGTGCCTTAATAAATATATTTAATAGAAGTGAAAACAATGATTTAATGTTGATTACTTTGTAGATGTTTTTGTTAAAGGTGTGAACAAAACAATGATATTTGTCGTTGGTCAAAGTGATACAGCCATCTACTGGCTAATGCTTTTTGTCATTGCTCAAACTGATAGATATATTCGGACCAAAGATATTTGTCGTTGGTAAAAATAATAAAGATATATTCAGAACAACTATATATGACGTTGGTCAAAATGATAAGATATATACAGAATAGTGTTAATTGTCTCTGGTCTGTGTGATAATGATATATACTGACCACGCGTACGTCATTCAACTCATTGGTCAAATTGATACAGACATATACTACATATAATGTTAATTCCACGCAGTAAGACTCTGGTGTATATGGAGAAATACTACTTCAAACCCTACACCCGTATCGGGCCCTACATCGTGGGTCTGTTGGTTGGCTACCTGCTCTACAAGACCGACTGCAAGTATAAAATGTCCAAGGTGAGTCAAAGTAGTCTGTAAGGCCCACGGAACTGTACGACACTGCATGAAACTCGTGAAGAAAACAACAACACGTTTCCGGCTCAAGAGATTATACTAATGAGAGATGTGTTTAGGCGTGTAAAAATACACTAAAACAAGGCAGAAAGTGTTCACGGGTGAAGCCCATTTCTGGTGACGTGATATTGCTGGAATATTGCTAAAATTGGCGTAAAACTAAACTCTCTCACTCCTCATGACAATCTCTCCTTCACGTATGTATACACGTTGACGGTCATCAGGTGAAAAGATTACATATCTACTCTCATCAGAGGATGGTCCTTGACTAGTCTCACACTTATCAACCCCGTACTTTGTCCCTTCCCATCCTCACATATTCACGCTTTCGCCGGCTTTAAGTTATGAACATTTGGTTATATTTGTGCGACATATTTAAGCAAGATTCCATCACCGTTCTCGAAACCAGGAATCGAACACTTATTAAGTGAAGTACATGTGCTATTTTTCATAGGTTATGGTTGTCCGTGTTGGTCTGCGCTTGTGTGTTATTTGTTGCACACGTGTTGTTCGTTATACGTTTTTTGTCGTAGATGTTGCTGTGGGCTGTAGTTGTGTATGTGTCGTATACCGTGCATGTTGTATTACATCTGTATGTAATGACTATGTTGTAAGCCATGCTTTGTCGGGTTGTACACGTTGTTTGATGTATTCGCCGTTCATTAAGGAAACACCTTGCCTTAAACTTATTGCACTTTGACAGATACATGTATACATGTGTGAATATTGCTAAAAGCGGCGTAAAACCAAACTCAGTCAGTCAGTATACATGTGTGCGTGCGTATGCTTGCTCTGCTATCTCTTCAATGTCCCACGTTTGGACTTTGTCGTGGGTGGTGCCATCAGTCTTCTATTCTTCACGCAGACGTTCCTTATATTACATCAATGAAGTGGTCTTGAGGACGTTTTGGTTTTGTATTGTGGGATTGTTTTACATTTACAATATTTTGTACTGACCAAAACTGAGTTCACAGTGGTATTCAGTAACGGCATTATCGTTGTTGCAGTCTGTAAATTTGTTAGGATGGGCCACAGCGACGGCCGTCTCCCTTGCTGTGTTGTATGGCCTTTACAACGATACCAATGGACACCCTCTCACCGTCGACGTAGCCGCATTCTACAACGCTATGCACAGGACTGCTTGGGGAGGATGTGTAGCGTGGGTGGTGTTCGCATGTGCAACTGGGAATGGAGGTAGGGATCTCTCACTGGTGTTGTTCAAGGACAGCCTTGTCAAATGTAAAACAGCGACAGGACAACCATGGCTGTAAACGCTACGGTTAGAATGTCCCCAGCAACCTTTGGTGGAAGTCAGACATTGGGACGTGGATGATAGCGTGTCAATGTACCCTGGTGCTGTCGATGTTTCTCATTGGCTTGTCTGGTCTAATCGTTTCTCTCTGGATTGTCTGGTCCAAACTTATTTACTCAGTCCACCATAAACCAGTAGTCATGTGTGTGCCGTTAAACAACAAATACTCAGCCTAACTGAGCTTGGGATCGTTCTCAATGAATGTATAAAAAAAACTGTAAACATGAACTTTGCCTGCCCCTTCTTGTTGGTAACATCATTCATGTCCAAGTATCTATGTGTCGAGAGAAGCAAGTAATCTCAAACCCCGTCATATTATGGCAATGTGGCAAAAGGAAGATTCGGGACACAAATTCACAGGATATAGGCCATTCTGCTGATCAGCAAATCGTTACGTTAAATAGACAACAGTCTGGCTTATTTATACACTTGTCTTTCAGGCTTCGTGAACACCCTGCTGTCCTGGCGTGCCCTCATCCCCTGAGTCGTCTCACCTACACCTGCTACCTTGTCCACCCCGTCATGATGTACGTCTACTACTACGGTCGACAGCAGCTCTATTCCTTCTCTACAGTAGATGTGGTAAGTGTCATATGTGTGAAGCTTCTTGTGACAGTTGTAGGAAACACTTCAGTTGTTCTAAACCTTCTTGTGCTGTAGATGCCCGGATATAATGTTTTTCATGTACCATCCCCAAAAAGTAGGGGATACTAGATTTACAAGATTGATAAAATGCAAATGATGAAGCCAAGGAGGAAACAGATGATGGAGAGAAATTAAGGGAAAATGTGACGATTTATTCCATTTCTTTGGAAATGTTTCATCTGTATGGATATTTGTTACTTTTCTCACATGCATTGGCATTGGCTAGTGGTATGCTCGCAAAATGGAGCATCTCCTACTTTTTTTTAATGGTATATATCGGTGCTAGGCTCTTTTTCGGACACTTTGCCATGAAGGTTAGCTACCTGTGCAACCCAGAAAGAAGTAGTGTTCACTTAAGAACATTTTGAAGGGGGCATTTATTTCAGTCAACAATACCTTTAGCTGAAACAATTCAGTATCCTGATCATTGGACCGAAAACATGAAAACGACACCCACTAAAAAGACCTTCGAAATAGATCATTGTCGGAAGCAATGTGTAACTTAGGAAAGGATCACAAGTTTCATTCAGAAATTGCCTAATCAAACATGATTTCATTTCACATACTTCGACAAATAAACCTATGTTTTGGGGACAAAATATGGTAAAGAAGTAATTAATAAAAAGTCTTAGAATGGAAATAAAAAAAACAATGACTCAGGTTCAAACATGAAAAATCTTTGACAGAAGTGACGACAAAATAAATTTTAAATTAATTTGTTCCAGATATGGACGTTCTTTGGCAACCTGACAGCTACCTACATCATAGCATATGTGACATCTCTTGCATTTGAGGCTCCGATGATGGGGCTGGAGAAGACGCTCCTCAAGAGAAAGAAATCATAGCACCAGCACACCAAACTCCATCATATTAAATGAAATTACAGAGACATTTTGACCACAAGTGCAATGTTTTTCCTCCTCACTAACACAAAGTATGTCTCCATATTTTCAGCAGAATAACATTTATCAATATTCATATCTAAGTGCTGTTTCTGCAAGACTCTGTACACCATGCTCCATATAACCAGGGGTGGAAATAACTTTAAAATTGCTAGTGAGCTCTGGTACATTGGCACATGTAAAATCACTTGCCTTGATAATTTTTCCACTATACTGATTGTTGATTTTTTAAATAAACAACAAAATTAATATTGGAAAGTCAACTGGACACCGGTACAGTGTGATATACAAATTTGCTTGCCCAACTGAAAAAACCACTGGACTCGGGCGTCGGGCAATGGGTTATTTCCACCCCTGATAACGCTTCTTTACCTTGTTTGTAATGATCAAGTGCAATTCTCCCGTTATGCATTCTAAGTTGAATTGTAGTAAAGTAATTTCCTGTATTTTCCAATTACTGCATGCAAACTTGTATAAAGCATATTTATTCAACTTTAAGGAAGTTTCCTACACAAACTCCTTATTTGTCTTGGAAAATATTTGACAGTACAAGAAATGTCTTGTATTCAAATCAATCCAAGTAAATGCATCAACCAAAACAAATACTGATTCCAAATATATTCTTATTTTCTCTCAAGCACAGAGCTGTAATCACTAAACTCAGTTAGGGACCGTTCATAATTTATGGCTTTGGGTGGGGTGTGTGTTTTTGGTGACGATGATGATTTTAAGGGGGACCATTTTGTTCTGGGGAGGAAGGAGGGGGTCAGCAATTTTGTACACATGTACTAGGGGATCAGCAATTTTGCACATAAAAATACTACAACTTTATGCTTTAAAAATATGGGAAGGGGAGGGGGTCATTGATTTTGTACATGATATGCAAGGGGGGTCACTTGCTTTGTACCTTAATTTTATGGGTGGGGGGTGGGTGTATATTCACATTGTACATGCTTCTTGTAGCCCCCTTGCCAAAAAATATGAACGGTCCGTTAGATTACTGTTGCACATTCACACATACAGGATCCAAACACAAATACTCTCTAGCTTTGACTGAGAATGCACTAGCACTATTATTACTTGCTCCCAGGGTGATCAATCATCACAATTCACTCAATAACACATCAGTTAATTGCAGATTACATTGGAAGTGTATTTAGGTTCGTTCTCCACGAGCGATCTGGTTCAACTACAGCATTGTGACAGCATGCTGTTGGTCCTGGGTTACTTCCACAGCAAGCTGTTAAGCTGTTATGGCCCTACTTCCAGGGCCAAGTGTTGTGACCAGGCCCAGAAGCTACTGCTGTTGCTGCTGCTGCTGCTGCTGCCAGATCTAACAAACTCATTCCCACCTAGAGTCACTTCCTGCTACTCCTCCTTCACCTCCCCACAGTCTTCTATAGAAACTCTCTTAGCTGGAGTGCCATTTCGGGAACCACAAGCCTGAAGAAGTAATTGTGAAAAAATATCTACCGGGTAGTTTACTAAATCAGTCTAAAGGAGCATGTCTTGAATCAGCAAGTGTTGGGGTCATTGCAGAGTTCAGAAATATTCCAGCTACATTAATGTCAACAGGAAGCATCAAAATACCTTTCCATATGTTCTCTACCTGCTCAAACCCAGATCGTTAGAATGGCAACAAAACATACATCAGACAATGATATATCTCCTCGGATACCTTTTGCCAATGAGATATATTGAACAGACTGGAGATAAATTCCTGGATACCGAGTCAACTGTGAAGTCAGTTGATCATACCAGTTAGACTAGAAAAACAGAACACATTTACTCAGGAATCTCCAAGTGAAATGGTAGAACAAATTCAGTGTGTATTAATATCTAAACATTTTGTTATTACAAGCTTAGAACTGGTGAGACCGAACAAAATAGAATGTCTTACCTCCATCTTCTTGACAGTGTCCATGCCATCAGTCACCTGACCAAACACAACATGCTTCCCATCTAGCCTGCAACACAGTAACATGACCAGGGATTTATCCAAGTTGCAAAAACAAGACCCCTTGAAAGTCAAAACTTCATTTATTTTATTCAAAATTGGGATTATTTTGAGGTTCTTATTGGCTTCCATTCAGAAATCTTTTAACATCCACATTACAGTCCATAATATAAGTCTGAGCATTTGTGTTATTATTCCAATTTGGTAATTGTTACTGATATTTGCTGCAGAATTGTGGCTGAAGAACAAGCTCTAAGCAGACCTAGATAAATCCCTTATAACACAATAAATGCCTGATGCTTAATGTCTCAGTCTGTACTTAGGTCACAAGAATTGCTGTGCGGGTGCGAAGTTTCGTTCAGCAGAAACCCAGGTTACCTAGCATGAGGTTGATGAACAGTGCCTGGTATACAGTAAATGGGATACTTTGTAAATGTTAATGAACATCTGCTCTGTTAATGAATAAAAAATGCTTATGACATAAAATTGGTGGTATCATACCATTCTGTTTTTTCTGTGCAAATAAAGAACTGAGAGCCATTTGTGTTGGGTCCAGCATTAGCCATGGAGAGAATCCCTGCAACGAAGCATGACCAGCTATTACACATGATTACAAATCATTTCAAGTGGACTTTCTGTTCTCCACTATTCATTACTATATGCCTTTGTAAACATTGCATGCACATAATTCAGTATATTCTGAAATTGTTTGAAGAGGAGAGGGGAGTTTGTATTTAATTCTGCAACTGTACATTTGTCAGGAATGACTAACATACTTTAGCAGGGGGTTACCTTTGTGTGTAGACTATATATACAGGACTTCAAGTGACTCTTGCTTATCAACATAGCTACTTATACATGAAGAATACCTTATGTTTACTTTGTGTAGATTTGGATGTTCCTGACCAAATCGTAAGGTCAGGAAAATTTTACCTCTGATCCAAAAATAAATAATGGATGAATCTTATGTAATGTAATCCAGCAGTTCTCTCTATTGCATCAGGTGGGATGCTACAAGGTTAATATTTGCATCCATTTTCAGGTCTTATGTCTGTAAGATGCAATATTTTGCATCCAGTGAAACCCTGCTTACAAGACAACTAGTACTGGGTTCCCGTCTCACCTGGTCCAGTGTGCTTCAGGTCAAAGTTCTCGTCAGCAAACTTTTCCCCGTAGATAGACTTCCCACCAGTACCATTATGTCTGGTAAAGTCTCCTCCCTGGCACATCTGACACGCAGATAAGGATCAGACACAGAGGCACATCAGACACACAAATACGGGTCAGTGAGTCAGTGAGTGAGTGAGTTGGGCATCACACATGATGCCCATGTGGAGAATCGAACCCGGGTCTTCGCCGTGACGAGCGAACAAATACGGGTCAGACACAGACACACTCCAGACAGACATGGGCACATTCGACACACAAATAAGGATCAGACACAGAGGCACATCAGACACACAAATAAGGATACAAGGGGCACAGGTGTACATCTAACACACATATAAGGATCACAAAGACAGGTGTACAGCTTACACACAGATAAGGATCACAAAGACAGGTGTACATCTAACACACAGATAAGGATCACAAAGACAGGTGTACATCTAACACACAGATAAGGATCACAAAGACAGGTGTACATCTAACACACAGATAGGGATCACAAAGACAGGTGTACATCTAACACACAGATAAGGATCACAAAGACAGGTGTACATCTAACACACAGATAAGGATCACAAAGACAGGTGTACATTTAACACACAGATAGGGATCACAAAGACAGGTGTACATCAACACACAGATAAGGATCACAAAGACAGGTGTACATCTAACACACAGATAAGGATCACAAAGACAGGTGTACATCTAACACACAGATAAGGATCACAAAGACAGGTGTACATCTAACACACAGATAAGGATCACAAAGACAGGTGTACATCTAACACACAGATAAGGATCACAAAGACAGGTGTACATCTAACACACAGATTAGGATCACAAAGACAGGTGTACATCTAACACACAGATAAGGATCACAAAGACAGGTGTACATCTAACACACATAAGGATCACAAAGACAGGTGTACATCTAACACACAGATAAGGATCACAAAGACTGACTGATTGAGTTTGTTTTTTTACGCCGCTTTTAGCAATATTCCAGCAACATCACGGCGGGGGACACCAGAAATGGGCTTCACACATTGTGCCAATGTAGGGATTCGAACCCAGGTCTTCGCCGTGACGAGCCAACACTTTAACCATTACGCTACCCCACCGCCCCGGATCACAAAGAAAGGTGTACTTCCTACAAAAGGCTAAAGATCAAAGCAATACAGGGAAACATTCAACACACAAATAAAGACAAGACACGGGCACACCTCATAAACAACTGAGGATCTGAAAACCTTGACAGTTGGCATGCTTCATGCAATTAAAATGAAAAAAAATCAGTTGACTACAAGTGTATGCAAATCTAAAAACATAAAGAAAATCATGACATATCCATTGTATTAAACCTTTGGCATGTATTCATCAGATGATTGCTTGGTGATGTGTGGGTTCCTCTACCATTTCCTTTGTTTGGGAACACAAACACAAATTCACACATCGTAACTTCCAGGTCCCCATCATAGACCCTTGGGGTGTTGGAATAGCCAAGATTGTGCTTGTCACAGCCAAGGCCGAGGTTAGACTCCCCATATGGTACGGTGCTGAGTACTTCTGGTGTCCCCTGCCAATACATCCCTGCTAATATTGATAACAGCTGTGCAGTACAGTTTTAGTCATCTCTTTTGTAAGGCCTTAGTGCAGTGAGTGAGTTTGGTTTTACGTCGCTTTTAGCAATATTCCAGCAATATCACGGTGGGGGACACCAGAAATGGGCTTCACACATTGTATCCATGTGGGGATTCGAACCCAGGTCTACGCCATGACGAATGGACGCTTTAACCACTAGACTACCCATCTGCCTCGCTAGTGCAGTGAAGCCTATATAACTTTTACTGGCAGACACATAATGTTCAGTATCTACAGTCATGATCAATAATCTCTGGGGCATTACAGGGATAGAGCTGGGTCTCAAGCAACTGATCTTTGTCAGTGGGGGTGAGTATAAGCAGTGAATGAAATAAGCCAACAACCCAGCCAGACATCTGGGCTGGTAACTTGAAAATGTTACCAGCCCAAAAACAGATCAGACCAGACAATCCAAAGAAAATAACTCAGTTTTTAGTTACAATGAATAATGAGCCTGAGACATGCATCTACTCTTTAACAGTCTATTCACACCAGTCATTTTTAGAGAATTCCGACTCCGCGTTTGAGTCAAAAGGATGGAACATATTATCTAAACTTTTTACCAGACCATCGGGCTGGCTAGCTGTAAATTTAGACTGTCCGTCAGAAATCCCACCCATTTCGGGAGGTCGGACGGGCCTTATTTCATACACTGGATGGTCAGGTTAGGTGACTGCATGACTTTCTTTCCAACAACTTGAGGCACTGCTCATAACACCAGTCTCGGTTTGTCTTGTCCTGACTTGACATTTCCAGGTAGCAGTCATGTATCCAACACTGGGTGGGGTGTGAACATGAACAAACAACATGATCAAAATTAGATGATAAGGATACAAAAGTGGGGATTATTCTATGAAAGGAGCTTCCCCTTGTAGCCAAACCCTTTCTCGTGTGTACACAGAGCTCGGAAATTTTCTGGAAAAAAAGAAAACATCATTTAAAAAGGCAAACAAAATTCATTTCAAACCTGTTTTTAGAAAGTTTGAGGAATATCGATCTGAAGCATACATAGTGTTTTTATTGCTCTACTTGAACAATATCTGATATCCTGATAAATATATGAGATAATAAATGTCCTGGGAGAAGCACCTACACCTTTAAACCAGTTTGGGTTTTCACCATCAACAACTAGTTCTGGCAAGTATGCTCCAGCATATCTACCATCAATCAAAACTTGTAACTACCGGTAATATTCAGTATCATGCTGTGACCTTATTCATCTTATTCATCAACCAAACTGTCTAAACTGGCTGTAAAGAAATTATGAATTGATAATGGTATATATAAAGAATTAATTATGATTTAACATCACAATAAAAAAACATGTCAGATAACATTCCACAATAAACATAGAAAAATTGATATACAATCACTCATAGGTCAGTGAGTTTAGTTTTACGCCGCACTCAGCAATATTCCAGCTATATGATGGCGGTCTGTAAAGTCTGGACCAGACAATCCAGTGATCGACAACATGAGCATCGATCTGCGCAATTGGGAACCGATGACATGTGTCAACCAAGTCAGCGAGCCTGACCACCCGATTCCGTTTGTGGCCTCTCACGACAAGCATAGTCGTAGGTCAGTACTACATACCTGCTGTTCTGGGGGCTACATCAGCCCGGAGTTCCATCACTATACGCCCTGCATCCTTGTTGTCAATACTTACGTCAAAGAACACTTGAGGATTCTTTGTGCTTTGAGCCCGACATTGGCTGAACTGAAACATGAACGGTAAACATGAATGACTTGAACCAAGCACAAACTATTTCATCCAATCAGAGTATCAAACCTTAAAACAACTGACAGTGTTCACACACAAAAAGTTAAAGTATACTACCCATTCAAAAAAACATGTAACGTGAGATGGAGATCTAAATATGTCTATTATTGATTTTTTTTATCCAAATAAGTCAAAGACGTTTTGGGATATCAACTTCTTTATTTATTATTTTATTTGTTACATTATTCACAAATAAGGAGCTGATAAAAGTGATATCAAAAACAAGTTTGATCATTGCTGACATCACTTCAAAGAACCATTATTCAAATGTTCCGATTATATTTGTGTCTGGAGGTTAAGGTCTAAAACATTAGTTCGCAAATATCGTTTTCAGGAGCTCACCAAAACGGAGTATCATTTGAAATGCAACGCAGACATTTACATAAACGCCCGGCAAAATTACGCGCACGTGTTAGTAACCTTACTGACACTGTGTCACTTTTCGCATCGTTTAGTCCGTGTAATATCTTATTCTGTAATTTTGGAGTGATTACCCAGACCCAATGCACTTTAGAAATGTCTATGTCCTTCTTTTTACCCTCAAAAACTGGGTTCCAAAGCCAAGCAATCGTCTTGAGAAAACCATGTCACTGGATGTTATCGAAGGGAAGAAATTTAGAGTTACCTCCCTTGATCTACAGATTCTCCACAACTCTAAACCCGTTTCATTTCAGTTCCAAAATGGTACTATAATCATCACGTAAACAGGCTTCAAGATATATTTAGCAACCATACTGAAGTGATTCAGATTTTGAACTTTTTGCAGTTCGAGATGATGTAACCTAGGCATGATTATAGATACCAGCGTATCATGTCTGAGTGCAGTGACGTTGATATACGGAAAACTAGACATAGGACCTACTTATGTTCTCTAATGTAATAGTGCGTGTGGACTGTGCTAATCATGTACACAGATTTTGACCAACATTGACATATTATACTTATGAGTTCAGTTACCGCACATCCCATCACGAATATCACCGTCTGGCTTCTGGTGAAGCGCCGAGACGTTGTGATATAGACTATTAGTGAACACTGTTTTGTTTTAATACAATATTCTCGCTTTTTGGTTCGAGGAAATCGTATATTTTACTTTCATTTAAAAGTAAAACGAAGTAAATAACAGCATTCAAAATTAGGTTTTATTACAATTTTTAATATCAGTTATTTTATAAAGTTTCCTTTATAAGTTTTGTAATCCTTGGAAGAACTCTTCAGGAAAGTATTTGGAAACGCTGCTCCACACCAACGCCTGCTGCCGTCACCCTAAGCTGGTTCCCGGCTCCCTTTGCGCGCGCTAACGTTCGACAAAGCTATTGCGATATGCGAGACGGGGCCCAGCTTACCGTCACCCCCAGGTGTAAATCGGAAATGGAGTTTTGGCTACGTTTACTCCACTACTGGTTCAATTATTACAAGCTTAGAACTGCAGTGAAGAAAAAAACAGTGCAGTTCAGTGTATTGTTATTATTGTTCAAGTTATCAAAAGGCAACAAATCATCGCTATAGACTGGTTTGTATAAGCAAGAAGTATTTCAAGGTTCTGGAGGTATACTCCAGAAACTAGCACAGATCGAGGATATTCTCATGGATATCTAACGTGTCATGAAATGGAAAAGAAATATATCAAAATAAAATTCGAACTCGATACATTATTGCCTGATGAGTGAAGTCATGGCAAATGGCAAATAACAAATTATTGTTTGTTTTGAGTTTTGAATATATCTGGTCGTAATATCAACTTGAGGGATCTTAATCAAGACCTTCTGTTTCAGAGAGAGGTGCATGGTTGGTCCTGCAGTTGGTCTGAAACTTTGCATGAGAATCGCTAATAAACAGCTGACATATACTCCCATACTTCTGACGGTGGATTATGACAAAGTAGCACTAATAAGCTTTCCAGAGTACACCTTTCTTATTCTAAAGTGAAATCAAATCAACCCTGCTAGTGTACAAGTTATCAAACTGCCAGATGTACCAAAGACATGTTGAGTGTAAGTGCAGTTGAGGGAGGGGGGTACCATGCACAAATGTATGGGGGTGCAATATGTAGGATCAGTCATATATAGAGACCACAGGGAAAAAACGTCACCCATATCCATGCATCGCTGGAGATAAGCTATTTTCCCGTTCCATCTGTAAAAACAGATATTTTGTTAATTAACACTATGAGCCTGAGTATATATTTCCAAAGCATTAGCTTCCAACAATGTTTTGGGATTTTGGGGGGTTTTTTTAGTGTGTGTCTGACAATTTCTTCTTTTTTTCCAACAGTTAGAGTCGAGGTGACGTGAAATGGGGTTTAACGTCGCACTTAAGAATATTTCGCTCATATGACGACGTGTATGCGCGTATATGTGTAAGTTCGGCTGCTTGTACTAGCCCAGACTTAAGCTGGTTTTATAGTGCCAGCTCACTGAGATACCATGCCGCAGTTAAGCATGAATACCCCCCTCAGAAACATTACTGACTCCGAGTCGACCAGTCCTTGTTGTACCAATTAATGCCGAGCGCCAGGCAGTGACCAACAAGTACCATATTTTAACGTCTTTTGGTATGACGCGGCCGGGGATCGTTCAACAGTTAGAAGTACAGTTATGTTTGTCGACTGAATTCCGGTTCAGTCCAAGACACCTGTCCGCAGCCACACAGAAACACACACCGGAAGGTCTGCCCGGCCTCCACTAGCCAAATACACTGGCAAATTGGCCTAAAACTGTGAAAGGTTTCACACTAAAATCACCACTGAACATGCCTTGGAAAAGCACACGATGAAATCTATGTGAATGTTGATAGGAGGATATTCATAAAAAGACGACAGAACAGCATGTTTAATGTCCATAACATTGACGAGCCAAAATGCGCGCAAACCTGTGAGTATCCGGGATAGAATTGGTCTTCAGTAACCCATGCTTGTCGTAAGGGGCGACTAACGGGATCCGGTGGTCAGGTTTTCATGATAAGTTGGCGTCAGGATACGTACCCCATATTACTATAAGCGGTTCCTGACCCGCGTTCGAAATTAACGTTGGTCCTTAGGCCCGAAGCCGACTGAAAACCACAAGGACCCACAGCTTTTGTTCTCTGCAGGCCGACAGCTTTTTCATCCCCAATAACTAAGAGTATTATTTTTCAGAAAATATCATTCAGTAATTTCTAGTTTTTATGTCGATAAGCAGCTGTTGTGCTTAAGTGAAAAGACTCATTTTCGATGAAGCAATTTTGATTACAGACTTTTCAGAAGACTTGGATCTTGACATGGATGCTGATTTTGTTGTAAATGAAGACTAGTCAGTCACTAGAATTAAATTAAACTCTTTAACTAAGTTTGCTCGTTGTCACATTGTTTTGTTTGCTGGGAATTACTTATATTGTAGCTGAAATATAGGGCCTACACATTCTGGTTGGGACCCACAACTTTTTGTGGTTCTGGGTCCTTAGGGGCAGCAGCTTTTCAGGGTTAAGGGCAAACACCATTCGTGCATCTGTTGGGGTGGATACGCCGAACTCCTAAAATGGTCTGAGCAGTGGTCACTACCGTCAGGAACCAGTGCACAGGATGGGTCAACGTATCAATCGTTCCTGTCCTCAAACGCGGATGTCCTGCACGTCGGCAATCGGCAACTTCAACATTGTTCAGATTATTTCTCTGCTGGATGGCGACAATGGAAATGCCCCGACAACTGGCTATCCTCCACTGACCATTCCATAGCCCAATGACGTTGGCATGATGTGCGGTTCATTAGCCCTTTTATTTTTTGAACGATCAAACATCAACAAAGCTCCCCAAATTGACAGCATTAATTAATATATATTCACTCCACGAAATTGATGCAGATGCACAAACGTGGAAACAGGTGAACATGCCGTAACCACTAACGACGCAAAACGTAGCACATACATGTGTACAGGCGTAGTTCCCATGTATGTTTTGATTTCATATGAGCAGAGTTTCTTTTTGTGCCTAGTTTATATTGTAAAAATATTCAGAAAAATTACGGAATAACCCCCTAGGATTTGGTAGACTTTTGATGTGTACAAAAGAAGAGTCAGTGGTGAGTGAAAGTAGAATAACTCGGTCACATATCCCGGGTAATATCTCACCAATGACTAATTTCATTTAATGTGATTGTTGTTAAAACACCACACTCAGCAATATTCAAGCTATAAGGCGACGGTCTGAAAATAAACAAGTCTGCACCAGACAATCTAGTGATCAACAGCATAAGCATCAATCCTCGCAATTGGGATACAATGAGGTGTCAACAGAGTTAGCGAGCCTCCTGTTAGTCGCCTCTGACCAGATGTCCAGATTCAGTAAGCAACAGTGAGTGAGTGAGTATGGTTTTATGCCGCTTTTAGCAATATTCCAGCAACATCATGGCAGGGGACACCAGAAATGGGCTTCACACATTCAATAATTCACAATAATGAAGAACACTCAATTGTTTACTGTTATCCTTAGGTAATCTGTAATGCCATGACAGATTAAAACTATAGTAATATGTTTGTTTTGTTTGTTGTTTAATGCAGCTCGCAGCAATGTTCCAGCTACATGACGGCAGTCTGTAAATAATCAGATCTAGAAAAGTCCAGTAATTGACATCATAAGCATCAATCTAAGCAACGGAGATACGATGACATGCATCAACCAAGTTAGTGAGCCGGACCACCCAAGCCCGGTAGTGGCCTCTTATAACAAGCATGGGTAGCTTAAGACTAATTCGAAACAGGATCTTCATGGGTTGTAACATGAGAGATTGGGCGTTCCTTAGCTATATTTGAGTAGTATATGTCTGATATTGTTGGCTGTCTTCCAAATGACATCAATAACCCATCTACATGAGGTTACTACCTGGTTATAGGGTTATAGTTGTTATTCAATTACATGTTGTTGTTATTGTTAATCTGCTGTTGTCAAAACATACTGTGTATATATACTCCTCTACATCTGGTTGTATTCACTTTTAGCTTGATAACGATGTAAGAATCTACATCGAAACGTCGCTCTATGCAATAAATAAGAAGTTGTCATCCATAAAGTTTCATTTTTGAGTCACCAACTTCTAGAATGCCCATCAAATAATCTCCACAGTCATTGGCCAGACTGGCTAGTGAATTTTCATGGTCATTTTAAAAATATATCACTCTCTCCGACTTGTTAAGTTATAATACACTTTTAAATCATGCAAGATTATGGCCTGGTAAATAATGGTATTTTACCTTTTAGTAATTTTTGCTTAGTTTATACATTCAAATTTTGGGCTAGTGAATGATTTTGTGGGCTAGTAACTTTCAGGCATACCTAGCCCAACTGGTGAGCAAGATTTAGAAACTATTTCGCACACTGCAGGTGACCGGTTGCATTCTCCACATGGAGTGTTCTGTACTGGTTGACCAGGGGTAATATGTCAGCGCTTGAGCATGCAATGTGCATGAATAAATGCACAATATAAATGGACTATTATTATAGGGAATGCCAAGATTGGGTGATCTATTCATGGTCTGTTGTATGGTCCAAGTATGCACATCATATGGATTACAACCAACGTTCATCTTGCTCCTTGCTTGATAGAACAAAAATATGAAACAAGTTTCTCTATTCATAAAAGTTCATATTTGTACATATCTACAGAGAACATTTCACAACATGGTTGCTCTTCAAGAATTCCAATCACAAGTAGGATAAAGGTTTCAGTGCTTTCCAAGTCTTCAACTTCAAAAGTGGATAAAGTTTCCATGGTGATACTGACAAAGACTTTCCTAGTATTAGCAACGTTACTTGATGCATCACGCAAAGGAATGTTCTTCAGTACATTCCTAAATGTGTCTGTTGACCTCTCTTGCACTACAGTTGACCTCTGTTGCCTCTGTTGCACGAATCTAGCTGTCCATGTTGATGTGCATGGGTGCATGGATGCATTGATCCACTACCTCTTGAATCTTGCTGATGTGTTCAAGGTTTACATCAGTAGGATTGATGTATTGCCACATTTTTTTACACATCAAACTGTAAAATTCATCTGTGTTCGCAAATATACATTGATCTGACGCTTCCTGAAAGACATGCAACAAGCAAATGCACTTCCAGAAGAGCCATGTGGCAGACATATGTGATCGGATCCATCCTCTGGTATTGTCTCCTTATCACACAAACTCCCCACAGTTGGCAATCACCACCTTCTCAGATGGCTTACCTCCCTTGCTTCCACAGGCCTGGAAAACACAACATTCTTTGTCTTATTACAAAGTGTATAACAAAATATTCCACTAGATTAACTTACAGTCATCATAAATCTGTATATCCATACTTTCAGTTTGATTTCAGAGTTTTACATTTAGAACATTATGCTGACTCAATTCCATGACTGAATTAAACACTCCACTGGCCACAATAAAATTTGATGCTGCTATTTCAAAGCATTTTTAATAATGTGCCATAAATTAAATTGTTTTCCTCTGTTGTTTGATTTGGTTAGAGTGATGGTGGATATAACCTTCCAATTCGCTGCTTGTACCAGTGTGGGGCACCAAGCCTCAACACAGTGGGACAATCACACAGTTTAACCACAAAACCTTATTTAGGAATGTTGACAACTGAGAATTGAAAAACGCAACTTCTAGACAGGATTGTTATTGTAAAGAATCTGCTTCTGAGAACTGACTATTTTACCTCCATTTTCCTGACTACATCCATTCCCTCGATGACTTTCCCAAACACAACATGCTTGTTATCTAACCTGGAATTAAAACATTATCAACATGAACATAGGGCAGTATGTAGAACCCTTGGGTTATAGGCAGTAGGTCACAATATTGAATAGCTACTTTATAAAGGAAAACTCAGAATACAGAGTACTTGAGTAAAGAGAATGTCTCTTGTACAAATCTCACATAGTTTCATTAATACACCGAACTGCCTCCGTGGTGTAGTGGTTAGAGCGTCCGCCCGGACAGCGGAAGGTCGCGGGTTCGATCCCTGACCGCGTCATACCAAAAGACGTTAAAATATGGTACTTGTTGGTCCCTGCCTGGCGCTCGGCATTAATGGGTACAACAAGGACTGGTCGGCTCGGAGTCAGTATAATGTGTCTGAGTGGGGTATTTCTCCTCACTGCGGCATGGTATCTCAGTGGGCTAGCACTATAAAACCAGCTTAAGCCTAGTACAAGCAGCCGCATATACACACACACACGCATGGACGTCGTCATATGAGCGAAATATTCTCAAGCACAACGTTAAACCCAATTTCACCTCACCTCACCTCATTAATACACCTCAAGTTCAACAATTTACACAAATAGAAAGCACACAATATATCCACCAAGTGAATGAATGACTGAAACAGAGCTATGGACATCAGCAACTGAATGAATCAGTTTTCTGCTATTCATATACTATAAGAATCATTTGACCAGTATCCTGTTATTCACTTAGTGTATGAATTGGTGAACGAGTATTGTGCTATTCTGTTTGAAAGATGAAATACCGAACAGAAACAGCTCCCTACCAATCTGTTTTCTCTGTTGTGATGAAAAACTGGGATCCGTTGCTGTTTGGGCCGGAGTTTGCCATTGATAAAGTACCTGCAGATCAAAGAGAACAAGTTGTACAGTGTGATGAAGAACTCAGGTATAAAGGTGTATCTTATATGTTCTGCTATACACTTCACACCCTGGAATAAGACTATGGGTTCTCGAATACTTTCCCAGAAAGTATAGAAAGGGCAGTAACTCCTCTGTGTACATCTCAACATTTCAATAGTAATGGTTGGTTGGTTGTTTTTTAACACCACACTGAGCAGTATTCCAGCTATATGGCGGCGGTTTGTAAATAATCAAGTCAGGACCAGACAATCCAGTGATCAACAGCATGAACAACGATTTTGGGATACTATGACACCAAATCAACAAGCCTGACCACCTGATCCCAGCAGTACCTCTTCGACAAGCATGGGTTGCTGAAAACCAATTCTAACCTGGATGTTCACAGGTTTCACTAGGGGCGGTCAGAGAATTTTCATATTATATATTGCGATCAAGTCTATTATGATATGTATTGCAATATATTGCAAGAATTATTTTTGACAAAAACTACTTATAATCGAGTTAATGCTTGATTTATATAGCAAAAACACGAAAATCACTATGCTTGGTTACTTTAATAAAAAATTTAATCATGACAAAATAAATAATATTTGGCACAAATGAAACAAGGAAAGAACAATCAACACAGTGGTTACTAGTTTGAACTAGTTTTTCCACTCAAAAAAAGCCCTGAGATTTTAGACAGCACCTTGACCTGGTCAGGACATATCAGAGATCACCGGTCATTAATGAGTAAATATTTAAAACATTCAGATCCAGAACATTTGGGAACAAAACTTAAGAACACAACTTCAAACCGAACTTTAACTTGGGTGTGCTGAAAATCAAGACTTCAAGTGTTGCTGACCGAATGCATGTCGAAATACCGGTTTTCGATCAGCGTATCGCAATACGTATCGATTTCATGTTAAAACCGGTAAATACCGGTAAACCGGTTATATTGCGCAGCCCTAGGTTTCACTAGTACTAGACCTAAGATGTAAATGTTTTAATTATTGTTTCCTCTTTGTGGAGGGTGAAAGTAATTATATTGCTCTGTGTCAGAAACACATGACCCACTTACCACCAAACAATAACATACCTGATCCAAGATGTTTCAATGTAAAGTTCTCATCCTCAAACTTGCGCCCATATATAGACTTGCCGCCAGTGCCATTGTGGTTGGTGAAGTCTCCTCCCTGACACATCTACAGCAGGTTAAGGAATCACACAAAGACATACACGCGACAGCACTGAATTGAGCAGTGTTTGTCTTACGGTATTTGTTTACCAAGGGGAGACAACTGATGTTGAGCCTGCCCCTTTGTAAACAGTGGGTGAGTTTGTCAATGAATATTGCTTCACGTCACATCAGCAACATTGCAACTATTCCTGGCAAACATAAAATCATTTGAATATTTTAAAGTAACATAATATTATGTAAAAAATTGAGAACTACCAAATAGGATAGTGGTATTTGAAGAATAATATTTATCCATAAAATAATTGATGAATGACTAGGATACAAAAGATGGAATGATTCTGTGGAAGGAGCTGCCCTTGAAGCCAAATCCTTTCTCCTGGGTACAAAGACAGCGGAAGTTTTCTGAAATGGAAACAAATATCAGACTGACTGTTGAGACTTCTCCCAAACAACAAACATTGTAGAAAAATCAGACTAACCCTTCAAATTCATCATCTTGAAAACTGAGGTGTTACACATTTCCTCAAACAGTTGCACACAAATACATGATATACATTTCTGTCAAATAGCCAGTAGCATTGTAACATATGAACATAACATGCTTTCTATAGATGTCAATTTCCTTGGAGGCATCAGGAGGAAAATGTCCAGTGTATACACATGGCCCAGATTGACGAGCAGTCCACTGATGTCTGCTTTTGGAGAGTTTTAACAATCAAGGTTTCAGTAGGACTAAGAAATGCTAAATATTTTTAATTCAAACCCTGAGTCCTGTTTGAGCATTACACTCATATCATTACCTGCTGTCTTGGGTACGACATCTGCCCTCAACTCTATAGCAATACGCCCAACACTTCGATTGCCAATCTTGATGTCAAAGTAGACTTGGGGATTTGTACGGGATTTCTTGGGGGCTGACACTGCAGTCTAAGGAAGAATAGCTTCAATTAAAGTACTGTGGGAAATAGAAAAGAAAAAAAAAGCTTCAATTAAATTACTGTGGGACTGTTTTAGGCTGTCACTCTGTATCCCTAAAATTGACACAACTGCAAATAGCAAATGTCGAAATAACCCACTTCGCCTAACTTGGCATTCAGTGGGATGCGTAATAGAATATCCAGAAAAGCATGTTTACTCGTAAAATCGGGCAAAACTTACGAATAGCTGCTGAAAACAATAGATCAGACTATAGATGGCAATTAGGTCGCTCAGCCAGGTATGACGACGGACCGTCGACTCACCTGGCATGAAATGCATGTGCTGCCTACAGGCACAAGGGGTCATCTCAAAGATATTTTGTGCTTTTTCATGTGTGTTGACTATGCCTCATCTATTGATTAACATCTTACGTGTCTTTCTTTCATGAAGTTTATGTTGAGATATGTAAAAGAGTATGATACCTGATAACCATAGAGACGCATCGTATTGAATATATTAGGTGGCATGACCACCCGGATCGGGAAGATCGACAGGCCTAGGACTGGATATTATTTGTAAATTGTTATGACATGCCGTGTACTTCCCCAGTATAATTGCCCTAAAGGATTATCTTATCTTAGCTGATATCTCTATCCCCAAGCCCGATCCCAACGATCATCTGCAACACCCATCCAGGTTTTGCTTTTGAGACAAACCCTCCTATCTGTTTCTTTTTATAGTGACAGTGAGATTCCACGGTAGCTACATCCTTAATAGTTTCAGCATGAAAGTTATTATTTTTCACGCCAGCTATCGTTTATAATGAAGCTACGTCTTATTTCAAACTGAGAATTTAAAAAGTGTCCTTTGTAATACAATATTGTCGCACACTAATTTGCATAAAGCCATGGTCTGTTCCAAATAATTCGCTTTGGACTTAGAAAAAACCGCATTGCTCATTTCTGCACTAATCTCTCCTCAGTAAAGTCCTTTTTCTCGCTTTCTTATGTCCCTACCACTAGGTGATATAATTCAATTAACCACATAGGTAAAGAGATGAATAATTCTAGTTCTAATCACATGATGGTGATTCAAAATATTTGTTGCATTCCACGAATCACTTGATGGTATGAAAGACTGTCGAGCTCTGTTTTGAGGGAAGGTAATCGACAGCAGCGTCCAGAATGAAGTAGTTCAAAATGATGAGACCAAATATGTCAACTGTCAAATCTAATTTTAGCTGTCCTTTTTACTATACTCAAAATACACTCCAGAAATTTTGCAAGCAGTATTAACAATTTTGAAAAGTCTGTTTTTGTTAAGATGAGACAGATCCCTATACCAACATAGAAAATTGTAGGTCAACACACTTTGAATAAAGGTTTGATAAAAAACTGTCATTACGGTTTTGTCAATACCTTGACGATAATAATGTTCAGAATCAGAAATTAGGCAAGTAACAGTGGCATCATCTGAAAATTTCACAGTAAACAGTCATATATTGACAAGTAACAGGCATTGGTATACAAAACGAAGAGTACGGATGAAGGAACACAGCCTTGTGGATCTCCAGTAGAAGTTGAGAGAAAAGAAGATTGATAGCCGTTGACACTGACATACTGAGTTCTGTGTACCCTGAATTCTTTAACCCATCTGATAATGTTTTTATTAACACCTAGATTAAATAGTTTCCTCCTCACACGGTGTGGCTGTATAGTATTAGTTGCTACAAGTCTGCAGATGAGAGTACATGTAAAAATAATACATCGATTGAGATTTCACTTCTTAAAATGATTAGGTAACTATCTTGACAATTGATCGTTTTCTTGAAAGGTATGAATTTCGAGTACTCGGGTCCGAGTCGAGTCTCACCCCTCGAGTACTCGAGTCCAAAAAAATGGACTCGTTGAAGCCCTACCTACCACTGAGACTTGTAGTTAGGCCGAACTTAGTTTAACAGATACTCCACACTTGCACATAAATCTACATAAATTGTAGAGAAAATACAGTTTTTTTCTATTTCCGACAGTACTTTAAAAACATGGTAGTATTTGAGGCTACGGCCTTTCAACTTCATCATGTAATGTGGGTGAAAGTCTGTCACACAGCAAATATTGTTGAGTGCAGCATCAAACAATTGACAGAAGTTTGACAGTGTTATCATATTATCAGAACTACGTTACTATGGTTACTTGAGCAGTTCATAGCACATACCTCTTCTGTGTCTTCTGCAGGTCTCTTTGTTCCATGCTCTCCTTCCCTTCCCCCATCCTCTTCCTCCCCTTCTCCTTCCTCCCCTTCTCCTTCCTTCTTCTCTAGCGTCTCCCCAGAGTGTTCCTGTAGCCATGTATCCTCCGCCCACACTGAAGGTCAAGCAAGGTCAGTGTTAGTAGAACATTACACACTGAAGGTCAAGCAAGGTCAGTGTTAGTAGCAAGTTTCACACTGGAGGTCAAGCAAGGTCAGAGTTAGAAGCACATTTCACACTGAAGGTCAAGCAAGGTCAGTGTTAGTAGCACATTTCACACTGAAGGTCAAGCAAGGTCAGTGTTAGTAGCACATTACACACTGAAGGTCAAGCAAGGTCAGTGTTTAGTAGCACATTACAAACTGAAGGTCAAGCAAGGTCAGTGTTAGTAGCACATTTCACACTGAAGGTCAAACAAAGTCAGTGTTAGTAGCACATTACAAACTGAAGGTAAAGCAAGGTCAGTGTTAGTAGCACATTTCACACTGAAGGTCAAGCAAGGTCAGTGTTAGTAGCACATTTCACACTGAAAGTCAAACAAAGTCAGTGTTAGTAGCACATTACAAACTGAAGGTCAAGCAAAGTCAGTGTTAGTAGCACATTTCACACTGAAGGTCAAGCAAGGTCAGTGTTAGTAGCACATCTCACACTGAAGGTCAAACAAAGTCAGTGTTAGTAGCGCATTACACACTGAAGGTCAAGCAAGGTCAGTGTTAGTAGCACATTTCACACTGAAGGTCAAGCAAGGTCAGTGTTAGTAGCACATTACAAACTGAAGGTCAAGCAAGGTCAGTGTTAGTAGCATATTTCACACTGAAGGTCAAACAAAGTCAGTTAGTAGCACATTACAAACTGAAGGTCAAGCAAGGTCAGTGTTAGTAGCAAATTTCACACTGAAGGTCAAGCAAGGTCAGTGTTATTAGCATATTTCACACTGAAGGTCAAACAAAGTCTGTGTTAGTAGCGCATTACAAACTGAAGGTCAAGCAAGGTCAGTGTTAGTAGCACATTTCACACTGAAGGTCAAACAAAGTCAGTGTTAATAGCACATTACAAACTGAAGGTCAAGCAAGGTCAGTGTTAGTAGCACATTTCACACTGAAGGTCAAACAAAGTCAGTGTTAGTAGCGCATTACAAACTGAAGGTCAAGCAAGGTCAGTGTTAGTAGCACATTTCACACTGAAGGTCAAACAAGGTCAGTGTTAGTAGCACATTTCACACTGGAGGTCAAACAAAGTCAGTGTTAGTTGCGCATTACAAACTGAAGGTCAAGCAAGGTCAGTGTTAGTAGCACATTTCACACTGAAGGTCAAGCAAGGTCAGTGTTAGTAGCACATTACAAACTGAAGGTCAAGCAAGGTCAGTGTTAGTAGCACATCTCACACTGAAGGTCAAACAAAGTCAGTGTTAGTAGCGCATTACAAACTGAAGGTGGAACAGCGTAGTAACTGTGACAGTGAAGGTGAGATTCAGCACAAGAAACATACAACACAAGGAGTGTCAGACTCACTGGTACACAAGGAGTGTCAGACTCACTGGTACACAAGGAGTGTCAGACTCACTGGTACACAAGGAGTGTCAGACTCACTGGTACACAATGATTGTCAGAATCAGCAGTAGCCACATAAGAGGAATTGAAGGCCAAAAGATAATATCCTAACAATATTGTGCAAGTATACTATCTGACTGACTGAGTTTAGTTTTACGCCGCTTTTAGCAATATTCCAGCAATATCACAGCGGGGGACACCAGAAATGGGCTTGACACATTGTGCCCATGTGGGGAATCGAACCCGGGTCTTCGGCGTGACGAGCCAACGCTTTAACCACTAGGCTACCCCACCGCCCCGCAATTATACTATCACTATAATGACAAACTAAATAAAATCACCATTGACATAAGCAGGAACTTCAACGGAATAGTTCAACTCAACCGGGAATCAGTAGTGCATGTTCATTGTTTCTAATCATGTGACGTATCCTGCTACAGATTCACCAGTCTCCACTGGTTACTATCTAAAACCAGGTATTCCGTTAACACAATCAGTTAGAATCTGGGTGTGAACCAGTGACTCCAGGTTTCAAGCATCCCTAAGGCAATGTAAATTGAAAGGGTAAGTTTGCTGGGAACATTTGTCATCTGTCACTTGTGAACAGCTAATGCTGGTATATGCAGCCTGTAAACAATCAAGTCCGGGCCAAAGAATAACAAAAGGAAGCAACTGTGCAAATTGCGTGGTGAGACAGCCAAGCATGACCTGAAATATTTTGATAAAGTTGAGAAACAATCCATGAACATCTGGCACGATGCCAATTTGCCCCTCCCTACCATTATGCTGACAGAGTTCGACTACTTCCTGGTCCTGTTACATCCTCCTGATGACCTACCTGGTCTACCTGATCCCTCCTTGATCTTCATTGGCTTGGCCAGGTTCACTCGGATTGTCCGCCCAAACAACTCTGAGTCATTCTGAACACAAGACAATTATCACTGGCCAGTAATAAAAACAACAACACAAATTTCATAACAAAACAAGTGAAACAAACAAATATTGTCATTTGTTTACATTAACAATGTAATAGTTGGGGGGCAGTGGGGTAGCCCTGTGGTTAAAGCATTCGCTTGTCATGATGAAGACCCAGGTTTGATTCCCCACATGGGTACAATGTGGGAAGTCCATTTCTAGTGTCCCGGCCGTGATATTGCTGGAATAATGCTAAAAGCAGCATAAAGCCACACTCACTCACTGTATTAGTTGGGAAAAATCTGTTTTCTCTATACACTTATTACTTGTTGCTTAATAAGAATCTTAATTGTATCAGATTGTGGCTGTTACAGAGTACATATGACACTTGTTCTTGATGTCAAGGACACAACCGTACCACCTAACATGGTGTTATGGACACAACCGTACCACTATATCATGGTGTTATGGACACAACCGTACCACCTAACATGGTGTTACGGACACAACCGTACCACCTATCATGGTGTTATGGACACAACCGTACCACCATATCATAGTGTTATGGACACAACCGTACCACCATATCATGGTGTTATGGACACAACTGTACCACCTAACATGGTGTTATGGACACAACCGTACCACCATATCATGGTGTTATGGACACAACCGTACCACCTAACATGGTGTTATGGATACAACCGTACCACCATATCATGGTATTATGGACACAACCGTACCACCATATCATGGCGTTATGGACACAACCGTATCACCATATCACGGTGTTATATGGTCACAACCGTACCACCATATCATGGTTTTATGGACACAACCGTACCACCATATCATGGTGTTATATGGACACAACCGTACCACCATATCATGGTGTTATGGATACAACCGTACCACCATGTCATGGTGTTATGGACACAACCGTACCACCATATCATGGTGTTATATGGACACAACCGTACCACCATATCATGGTCTTATGGACACAACCGTACCACCTAACATGGTGGTGTTACGGACACAACCGTACCACCTATCATGGTGTTATGGACACAACCGTACCACCTATCATGGTGTTATGGATACAACCGTACCACCTAACATGGTGTTATGGACACAACTGTACCATCTAACGGCAGAGTCATTTGTACTACCATGCAATAAGGTATGCTACCTACCATGTTGTCTATGGCTGCAGCAGAATCCTAAAAAGAGAGACAAATTACTATATACAATAAAGACTTATCAATGGTAAGCACAGTCATAATATACCTGTGTAATGTGACAAGTATCTGAACAGCAACTTAGGATAGACAAGTAAGTGATACTTATCTGCTTATTATCAAAAGGACTTCCATTTCATCATCAAACTTTCAAAGGGTATTGAATATGACAAACACTAAAAATTACATCATGAAATAGTGAGTCAGGAAGAGATGAGTCTTAAAACCTCTTGCACCTAATAAGTGACAATATATCTTTTCAAATGCAGGGATTGGAAAAGGCAGGGGCCATTGGCCATTTTGCACATTAGAATAAAAAATGGCCCATTAAAATTTTGAAGTTTACTATTGATAAAAGGGCAGTGGCCGATTCTAAATTCCGAAAATGGCCCATTGTCAAGGTTCTCTATGCCAATCCCTGCAAATGTAACCAACTCTTGTTTATCATGTTTACTGGTATATATACTTGTACTACCTTGGGTTTGTGTGTGATGTCACAACCATAACTACTCATATTGTGGTGCAAAGTAACATAATGCATATATAATCTAGTTGCACAAATTACATGCAGAATAATGGTTGCTTGTCCTTCCAAAATCTTTATCTTTTAAAGAGTTAAGTTACAAATTTGAGGCAATGTAAAACAGTCAAAACTAATTTGATGAGATAATGCTTCAAAATCATACTTATTTTAATGTACTGAACTGATATTTCAACTTGTCTAATGATTCATGGAAATAACGGAGATAAAACATACCTCAGCAAGTTCAAACTCCACAAAAGCAAAGCCTCTGTGTTTTTCTGGAAAGAATACAGTGAAGTTATTAATTCAAATTGTGTGAGTGAATATTACTGGATGATACTTCAACACCATGGTTATTTCCTTGATTATGACTTGGACTCGTCATGCTCAAATATACCTCTTATCTACGAATCCAGGAACTTTTTTGACTATTTTGGCTATTCATTTTTTACTCTCTCAAAATGCTATGTTATATGCTGTTTCTGTATAGTTCAATAAAATAATAAACATTTATTTTATATAATGTTGTATTATTTATGTTGGGCAAAATATCGTAACGCCAAACATATTACTATTATGGGCAAAGGTCCTCCCCTGTAAAAATTGATTCAACATGTTCTATGACCAAACTGTAGATTTGTCCAGCTTGAAGGTGATGGTGAGTCACAATCCTGTAAGGCGTGGTCTAGTTCATACCTGTTTCATAGTCAAGGGGTATCTGGATATCAACTATGTCACCAAATGGCAGGAAGGCTGCATGGAGGACTTTGTCATCAACCTCCTCCGCAAGACCACCTAATACAAAAACATGATCAATAAATGACCACCAAAACACATTACAAAGCACACTATCAACAAAACAAGTAGTTGCCTTTAGCTTTAATTTGTTAATCATTGAGACTGATAAAACAATACACGTTTTCAAAAATAGAGAAACTTCATCATAGTTCATGTTCAAACCTTATTTTAAAGAAACATTCGTTCTGAACGAAATTTGACCTGTATTCAGTGTTATCCATGTGACACGTCACCGTCAAACATGTTAATATGTCAATTAATGTAATAAACCGTTTAATTAGAGATGTGTATGCGAGAAATAACGATTCTTATTACCGACGTAGACGATACGCTTGTTACTGGTAGCCATGCTTCTTTTAACCGGAAGTTGACATTCACGTACCCTGATACTTCCGGATATGGCGTGTCCATTTTATATTTCCCGCCATGACACTTCCTTGAGCGTTCACTCTGTTCTCTATGTTGTCAAATGATTGATTATTAGTGTGTAAAGTTATTAAATGGAAGATGAAGAGAAAGTGGAAGCTCTATCGAAAGACACATATGGACGTTCTTCAGTAGTAAGGTGCGTTTCAGAGTCAACTGTTGCTTTGATATTCTTCAGCTGTTTTTGGCTATGTTTGATTGCCAGGATATGATTATATAGTTTCTATTTGAGTTGTCACTGCACTTATCCAGTATATTATTGTAATAATAATAATAATTGTATATGCCATTTTAAAATATTTGTCGCAACTGTCATGTAATCTGCATTATTAAATTCAATGACATGTACATGATATATAGGCCTAAATTTATGACATACGACAGCTGCTATAGAGTTGACAAAACACCAGCTTGTGAGATAGATCTAGCCAGCAATTCTTTTGATTGTTTCCACTGCATTCGTCTACTCATGTGTATGTGTGACCTGGAAATTGAAAGTATTGTGAGAAATGACGAATACCTGCCATAATTATATGTATGCAGCAGAATAAAATATTTCCTGTTCATGTTTTTGATTGTATTTCCACCATCAGCAGAACATAGGACATTTGCTTTAATGATTTTTGGGGAATGTGTTGTGTCTGTCCTTGTCCTTGAGGACACAAAGCATGTATTTTTCGCATTGTTCATATGACAATTTTTTTATCAACCGTGAAAGAAAAGAATATGTTATTCCCTATAACATGTACAATACATAAATGTAGTGAAGGTATTATTTCAAATGACAAAAAGAGTAAAGCAGCAATCAACAAATGATCAAACAACTGAGTCTATAAACTTTGAACTAAGGCAATGCTGTAAATTCAAGTTTCAGACAAGACCATGTGACCACAGGTAACAGTTATGTATAATATGCATAAGTTTTATTTAAGCACATTGACCATTGTTGAAAAATTGATGATTTGTTCGTTTTTATTTCCAGAATTTCTTCCTAAGCACAATGTCAAAGCGTCGCTTGACTGAGAGAGACAACCAAGCCAAGAAAAAGCGTAGGCATGATGCTGGAGAACCTGACCCATCCATGGAGGATGAAGATGATGGTCCCATCAACCAGTCACAGAACCCTGACTTCAATACAAGCCCGGTAGGTTCCTGAAACGTTTGGGTGGAAGCATTACTACAGGGGTGGAAATAACCCATTGCCCGACGCCTGAGTCCAGTGTTTTTTTCTGTCGGGCAAGCAAATTTGTATATCACACTGTACCGGTGTCCAGTTGACTTTCCAATGTTAATTATGTTCTTTATCTAAAAAATCAACAAGAAAACAGCTGGTATAGTGGAAACAATCCATGGTGATTTTACATGTGCCAATCAATTAGGGTCAAGCACTTCAGATGGTACCATGGGTAGTGCACCTGCTGCACAAGAGACGATAGGCCATCTCACCGTGTTACACGTTACGTCTCTGACTGATGTAGATATTACAAAAGGGCTAATGTAGTCACAAATAACAGTTGCTTGATTTTTTTAATAGAATTGTTTCAGCTGAGTTGTTGTCATTATGAATACATAAATATACTTTTCTTAGACATTGTTTATTTTTATTTGTTGTATGTTTTTATGTCAATTCAGTGACCTTCCCATCACTGTATGTTTTAAATCTAGACCTAAGCAAGACTACAGTTAGTTTTCTTCAATTGTTTACCAAGACACTCAAACATTCTCTTCTCTCTTATGTGATCTCGTTATTTTCAGGAAGCTGAAGTTGGCATAATTGAGAAAATTAGTGTGAAGAATTTCATGTGTCACACTCGTTTGGATGTCAACTTTGGTCCTCATGTCAACTTCATTGTTGGAAGGAATGGAAGTAAGTTCATATCTTAGACTTACAAGAATTGTATTGGCATTGCAAATTTTATGGTATTCAAGACTTGATGGCAAGTTTTAGCAAAGGATACCTGGTTGAGATCTGTGAGTTCCCTGTAGTTGTACCAAAGCAAGATGGATGTGGTATAAGATATATATCCTCATAATCATTGATTATGCATATATTGTCATCAATGAAGCAATACTTAGATCATGTAGATAAAAGCAACTACTTGGTAATGCTAATTTTCAATAAATTGTAGCAAAATTGCTTCTCATTCATAGGAGTCCTGGAGTGTATTTTTTTAGCGAAAGGTCTGCTTGTACAAAATAGATATATATATATATGTTTATGTTTAGACACTTAGAGGAAATGGCAGTGAAAGGCTGGCTTCTGTTTTGACAATTGCCTACAGACAACATTTGACACCTCCAGTTTCACTCTGCCATCCGCGGTACAAAGTTTCATTATATGAGTAATGTAAAATTTACTGTACGTAGTTTTATTGCACTGTTTCCATTAGAAATCATCTTAAATCTTTTGTCAGTCCCACAATGTAGGATGCATATTAAAGATGACAATCCCTGACTCACCCCTTGACTTCCCCCTGTGTTCCTGCAATAGGTGGGAAGAGTGCCGTGGTGGCAGCGCTGGTTGTTGGCCTGGGGGGCAAGGCCTCAGTGACAAGCAGGGGCAGCACCATCAAGGGATTCATCAAGAGTGGGAAAAGGTCAGAGATCTTACAGTTTACACAGAGCTATGTCCTCATTTGCAAACATTTCTCTGTTCTTAGGTGTGTGAAGTATGTGCATTAGCATTTCTTCACTTATCTCAAGTCTGTAATATACAGTATTGTTGTTTATAGTTTACTCCACAGACTTAGATGATAGGTTTTGGATATTATTTTGTACATTTTCATCACATATATTTTCATTCCAGTTCTTTATTTACCCTTGGAACAGTTGTAATTCTCACATCTTACAGTTATATATATGCATGTTAATGGAAATGGTATGTCTGAGTTCAGGATGATATGTAAGAGGAAATTCTTTTTCATATATTCCTCCTTGGGGTACATATAAGCATTTAAATGTCCATTTAAAATCCCTACGACAGTTGTAACAATATTTGAATAAAATATTTACAAAACAAAGAACTACGAAACTACGTTTTGTCTTGTGAGACCACCCCTACAGGGCCCCGCAGACCCCTTACAGCCAAGAGCAGGTAACTCTAGACTATAACTTCGTACCTCACTTATCATGCTGTCGTTCTATCGACCGGACATGCGTCCCTTCTCAAGAGTTGAGTTGAATTCCTTTCATGATGAGTGGTTCGGAAACAGCTACTGTATGTATGGTTCTCTTTTCTTCCCTGCATGGGCGATTTAGAGATTGTTTCTGAATATTTTCATTCATCTGTTGTTGTCCCCCTCCGCAGCGCGGAACGGGGGACTATGTATTCAGCAGCGTCCGTACGTATGTACGTCCGTCCCGATTCTTGTTAATGCGATATCTCATGAGCTGTTGTACTCAATGTCTTCAAATTTGGTGTCAGCCTACATTGGGGGATTACACAAACACCAGTCGATTTGGGTAATCTTGACCTTATTTTCAAGGTCACCACGACACTTTGACCACTTTACAAACTCTTGTTAACGCGATATCTCATGGACTGTTGTACCCAGTGTCTTGAAATTTGGTGACAGCCTACATTGGGGGATTACGCAGACACCAGTCGATTTGGGTAATCTTGACCTTATTTTCAAGGTCACCACGACACTTTTCACACTTTTAACTCTTGTTCCCGCGATATCTCATGAAATGTTGTACCCGATGTCTTCAAATTTGGTGACAGCATACATTGGAGTATTACACTGACACCAGTTTATTTGGGTGACCTTGACCTTATCTTCAAGGTCACCACGATACTTTGACCACTTTTTAAAGCGGATATCTCATAAAACATTGCACCCAATGTTTCAAATTCAAGTATGTTGACAGCCTACATTGGGTGATTATGCAGACACCAGTCATTTCAGGCATCTTGTATGTGACCCAAAAATAAAAAGTAGTAAATATAGATATTCCATTCTTTAGCAGCAGAGGACATTGCCATATCAGTGGCAAACACTTGTTGTAACTTCGCTCCAGTCTGCATCGGCTGGCCATGTGCTTGTCAAGAAGGCGGACGGGAGCCTTCGCTATGCTCACTGTTTTTATTATTTGCCGGTAAGGTTCTCAATGTTTAGTGTAGATATAGTGTATTGATATGTACGTTTGCATGATATTACGCATCCATTTAGCGGGTTACAGTGTGTTTTCCGCTGCTAGCGTTTTGCGCTGATAGTCATAATTTTTAAACTTCTCTCTCGCTTCGACTTTTAGTGGAACAACTGTAAACTTTTTTCCATAGGCCTCCTTGTCCATTTGCCCATGCACTCCATCCTAGTTCCTAATGAAGCTTGCAGCATGCTCCACTAATTGCCCACGTGACTACCTTGAATGATCATTCCCTTTCTTGTCGCACGACTGTGTGGACGTGCTGTATATTAGGGACAGTATTTCACCCTAACATCATGGGGAAAACAGATAATCAGTCAAGGAAAAGGAAAGTTTGTGCTCAATGCAAGACGAATTATTCATCCCTCGACCCTCACGCGTCTTGCAGTGACTGTATTGTACAATGTAACTGGAACAAATGATGTGGCAAGTGTAATTCACTAAAAGATGAGGATTTTAAGCCCTACCTCGTGTTTGCTCCCGGAGAATCGCCGATAGGGAGAGGAAATCAACAGAATCTGATCCCACTCCCGCCAAGCCTATCAAGTAACAGCGACAGAAAATCGTACCTTCACGCAAGAGAGCGACTGCTGTGGTTCAAGACCCGTCATCAGATTCTTACTTATCTGAGGACATTCGGCACCTATTATAGTCCTAGGCCAAATGTTAGAAAAGTCCCTATCTTTTAGGATCTCTCAGCAGCAGTAAAAGCGTTATCCAGTAATTGGTATGGCAACTCCCACCCTCCAGAGATTCTTGTCAATGTGGAACTAGACACAGAATGTATCAGGTTACTGAAAACAGACAAGGTTTACCCTGCTGTTGAAACAGTGTCCACATGTTCATAGACCAACTGCATGAGTATTAACCGCATGGTTTAATGGACGATGACAAGCACTGATGTTCAACATAATCAGGATATGCAGTATGGGTGATAAGGCCTGGTGTATCATATTACCTGATAATGATGTTATCTCCACATTTGGCCTAGGAGTATATTACGTACGCATCAGTCACCTCCTTCGTCAGATCACTCGCGGGTGGTTGTGATCGATAATTCATCGTTGCCTGTCCCATCTACACTACCAGGGGACCTTAGATCGACACCATCATCATCCAGATCATCAGTACATATTCCCTCGACTGTCTCAGTTTGTTTGGAGCTTGGCCAACTTCGTTCAACCAGCCAACTGTCCCCCCACATTCATTGAACCGGACAGAGCTGGCTACAACGGTCTAGAACTACAGCGACCCCGATCCAGATCACCTTATAGATCCAGATCACGTTCACAGTTTCCAGTTAGTGCATCAAATCGATCCAGATCACTTTACAAATCCAGATCATCTTACTAACCCAGGTCACCTATACGATCTAGATCACCTTACAGAGCCATTGACCAATCGGGATCACAGTACAGATCCACATCTCATGGCCGATTCTATTCAGATGATCGAACCAGAGCTCCAATCAGAACCAGATCACCAACTAGAACTACAGCGACCCGGACTAGTTCTTCATATCATCACAGGGCGGTGGGGTAGCCCAATGGTTAAAGGGTTGGCTCGTCACGCCGAAGACCCGGGTTTGAATCCCCACATGGGTACAATGTGTGAAGCCCATTTCTGGTGTCCCCGGCCGTGATGTTGCTGGAATATTGCTAAAAGCGGCGTAAAACCTAACTCAGTCAGTCAGTCAGTCAGTCATATCATCACCTAGCCATACAAGGGAATCCAGATCACCGGCTTACCAACCTACTTCGGTACTTACCACGTCGAGATCTCGATACAGTTTCTCTGACCGACGTTCTGGTGATCATTGCTCTGATACCACTAATGATCAGGGCCATATCCTCAGCCTGGAACCAAATACATCCGTCTACTCCAGCCCATCCAGCACCTGGCTCTGCATCTGGTCCACCTCCTGAGATTGATCCAGTCCAAATAACCATGCCTGCATCAGGTCTCAACCTGTCTTTTTCAAGCCTCCAGTGGTGGACGAGTGCATTTACGCCTCCATCACACTTGGTGGTTGTCCACTTCCTCTCAGGCTTCGGCCAGGCAGGGCAGGCGGCTTCCGCCCTTTCAAGCCAATGCCCCCACGCTTAAGTCTGCATACCATTCTTCGAGGAGGTTTACCGGTGTGCAGCACAACAGCTCCGTGTGGCGGTTCACTCTTCCCATGGCTATTCGCTGGCCACGCAGCTAACATTGCTTTCTTTCCCGTTCGCAATGGGGTCTTCCCTGTTCCCTGGGGCTTTGCAAGTAGTGCGGGAGGCCGCGGAGGCGGTGTCTACCTTCAAGGATTCTAAACCCTTGTTGGAACACCCCTCCACTTCTCACCAATGGCCTTCACCTCTTGCCTCCTCTTATCCTTCCTCCCCGGCGAAGGAGCCTGCCAAATGGACTGTTCCATTACAGAGCAAGAGGGCACGAGGCAAGGGCAGGCCTGCTCGGTCGCAGCGGCCTTTTCTGGGCTAGCCATCCCTTGGCTTCCCGTTGAGTCTCTCCCCCGTGCCCTTATTGCCCCACACACAAGCAAGCGGAGACTTGCCGACAGTGGGGGTGCATTGCCTTATGCCAATGTAGGCGACTGGCTGTCACTATTCCTTTGGGAGTGGGAAGCAGCCATGTCAAATCCCAGGGTCCACACTCAGGGATGGCCATTTGCCACAGTGGAGGTGAGATCCTTCTGCGGGGTTTGGCACACGCCAGTGCCAGGTTCCGGAAGGTCAGCAAGGAGAGAGGTTTTATTCCACTTACTTCCAAAGGACGGAGGGTTCAGGGTGTTTGTAGTTCCTGGGCGACCACTGAGTCTTAGGCCGTGGTTGGAGCAGGAAGTCAGCCTGCACGTCAATGAGCTAGAATTGAGAGCAGTCCACCGGGTGTTCAAGAGCTTTGTGGAGTTTTTTCGCAGCCGTGTGGTGCGTCTAGAGATTGACAACCAGACGGCAATGACTTACGTGCAGATGCTCTCTCACAGAGTATGCTAGCCCCACACGAGTCGATGCTCGATCGGGGCGTATTCAGGTCGTTCCAGGTGGATCTGCTTGCCTCTGGGGTGACGAACCAGATACCATTGTTTTGCTCTAAGATTCCGGATCCAAGGGCGGTAGCCAACATCGCCTTTCAACTTGATTGGATGGACAGGGTACTGTGGGCGTTCCCGCCGATACCACTGATTTCCAAAGTCCTGTCGCAGCTAGCCGCACAACCAGCTTGACTACTTGTGCTCCTTGCACCACTTTGGTCTGCTCAAAGCTGGTTTCAGGTAATTCTCAGGTTTCTGGCTCAGCCTCCTGTACTATACCTTTTGACCATTATCCTTAGAACTGAGGGGAATTTTGCACCATTTGCAGACAGGAATTCTGGCCAGTTGCAGACACAATTCTGGCTTCGCGGAGGGATTCGACAAACGTTCAATATGAGGATAGATGGGCCTGCTATGCGCGCTGGTATGTCTTCAGGGGGATTCTTGATCCCTTCTCTGAAGATTTAGTCTCTGTCTTAGAATTCCTCCAGTCTCGTTTGGAAGCCGATCTAGCGGCTTCAACTGTTCGAGGATGAGGATATTCAACGGCTGTTTCTGCATTCCACATTCCTGTTAACGGTGCACTCTTGGGGCGGCACCCTCTGGTTCAGCATTTTTTAGCAGGCATGGACAGAATCCGTCCGACTGTCCATTCTTGCCTTTTTCCCTCCAGCTGTTGACGGAAGGCCGCATTTCTGGTGGCAGTAACTTCAATGTCCGCTGACCCCTCGCTGACTGTTTTTCATAAGGACAGGGTTAGCATTCGGTTGACGGATACTTACCGTCCTAAGAGAGATAGTGCCTTTCACATTACGGCGCCTATAGAGCTTCCCGCTTTCAGGCAGCCTTCCCTGCCCGGTACCTCTCTAAGGCGTGGTCACGTCTTAGATGTCCGTAAGACCCTTAAGGCATATATCAAACGAACAAGGGGTATCCGTAAGGATAATCAGTTGTTTTGTTGTTATGGCAGGGATAAGACTGGTCTTCCAGCGAACAAGCAGACTGTCTCTAGGTGGCTTGTCTCTGCCATTTGTATGGGTTATACTCATTAAGGTCGTATCCCACCCAAAGGTCTGAAGCTTCATTCGGTTAGGACAGTGGCCACATCTAAGGCATACACTGCGGCGCTGCCCATTGAGGAGATATGCTCCGCGGCTATTTGGAGCTGACTGAGTACGTTCATCCGTCGTTATCAACTTGACAGACACTCCAGCGAGCTTGCTCGGTTCGGTCAGTCAGTTCTCTCCAGTGGGCAGGGTTCCACCTCTATAGCCGTTTGAGCTTTCGAGGTTTTATGATGAGGATCAATTATCTGCCGTTTTAACTGGTGTTGGGTTATTTTAAACTATTCTACGTTCTCCCATGGTGTCAGGTTTTATGGTGGTGGTTTTATCCCCATGTACTTGCATTCCTCTGTACTGCACTAGAACAATTTCCTTGGAAAGCTTTGCTTGTTTCGGCAAATTTCTTCTTGGGTATATTGTCAGTTTTCCCTTATCTTCACTTCCAATCAATTACGGGAAGGAGGGTGGGACTGTTTTGAAGCAATTTACATTAGCGAGGTTTCGCATGTTATGCTAGTGTCTTCGACACCTGACCCTGGTTCACGCCTTCGCCCGATTGGCTATGGTGGGCACGTGACCAGGTAAGTGAGATTTCTTACTCTGTTTATAGTTTGGGAATTCCTCTTTGTTGTCGGGTTTGTTCTACAAGACAGAATGCCACTCCCAGACTCAGTCTTTAGGAGTCTGTCTTATGCTTATATGTACCCCAAGGAGGAATATATGAAAAAGAATTGAACAAACCTGTAGAGGTTGCAGATTCTTTGAATATATTCCTCCTTGGGGTACTGCCTTCCACCTCCCCACATTCTGTCTGGTTATGTTCAGCATGGAAAGTGAGGTACGAGGTTATAGTCTTGAGTTACCTGCTCTTGGCTGTAGGGGTCCGTGGGGCCCTGTAGGGGTGGTCTCACAAGACAAAACATAGTTTTTTGTTTTGTAAATATTTTGTTCAAATATTGTTGCAACTGTCGTAGGATTTTAAATGGGCATTTAAATGCTTATATGTACCCCAAGGGGGAATATATTCAAAGAATCTACAACCTCTTCAGGTTTGTTTGAATTTTTCGTGCTTGCAGCACTGGTGAGGTGCAGATCAAGCTGCGGAACCGAGGCCCCGATGCCTTCAGGCATGAAATGTACGGAGACTCCATCACTGTGCAGAGGAAGTTCACATCAGAGGGGAACAGCAAATACCAGCTTCTCTCAAAAAATGGTAACAAAACAAGTTTTGTTTGTTGTTGTTCAATCCTGATAGTTACCCAGGGATTTACAGGACGCAAATTCCTGCGTCCTATACACATAAACATTGACAATGGAAGCAACAAAGTTTATTAGCATGTCCAGAGGGACTGAGAAAATGTCCAAATACTTTTTGTAAAAATTCCAATCAAGTGACAATAAGTTATCACTGAGTTTGCTACTAGCTGGGTTATGGTATTATTTGCAATTTAATTACTGTAGCAATGTGATGATCATGATACACAATACAATAACAGTATTAATAAGAGTATTGAAGTGTCTGGGACCCCCATTTTGTTGTCCAGGACCCCTGAAAATTAAGAGAATGAGTCCTAGGGACTCTCAAATACAGGACTCCATGTAAATCCCTGAAGTTACCTGTGAGACAGTGGTGGAGTGGATAGGGTCAACCTAGAGAGTGAAAGTTCGGTGGTTCGATCCCCGTTCAGGTCATACCAACACTCAGTTCACCTGCCTGGCGCTTACCCAGTGTTTGATGTCAGCTCATTAGTTATCTCCCTTGTGTAGGTGTAATGGTGTCAGCTCATGAGTTATCTCCCTTGTGTAGGTGTAATGGTGTCAGCTCATGAGTTATCTCCCTTGTGTAGGTGTAATGGTGTCAGCTCATTAGTTATCTCCCTTGTGTAGGTGTAATGGTGTCAGCTCATGAGTTATCTCCCTTGTGTAGGTGTAATGGTGTCAGCTCATGAGTTATCTCCCTTGTGTAGGTGTAATGGTGTCAGCTCATTAGTTATCTCCCTTGTGTAGGTGTAATGGTGTCAGCTCATGAGTTATCTCCCTTGTGTAGGTGTAATGGTGTCAGCTCATTAGTTATCTCCCTTGTGTAGGTGTAATGGTGTCAGCTCATGAGTTATCTCCCTTGTGTAGGTGTAATGGTGTCAGCTCATTAGTTACCTCCCTTACGTAGGTGTAATGGTGTCAGCTCATTAGTTATCTCCCTTGTGTAGGTGTAATGGTGTCAGACAAGAGGGAGGAGTTGTTCCACATCTTGGACCAGTTCAACATTCAGGTGGACAATCCTGTTGCCATCCTGAATCAGGAGACAAGTCGCAACTTCCTCAACTCCAAGAGCCCTCAGGATAAGTACAAGGTATTTTCATACTTGCAGTTCTATTACCTTTGTTCTGTAAATGTTCAAATTTGTTTCTAGATCAAAGATCTGCAATATTTGATGTGTGCATGCTAATGTGAGTGGCCAGCAGCATCATCAGGATCAGTTTCAAACCGTTAGCTTTATACTCTCTCTGTTCCAAACAGAGAATTACATAATGTGTTCTAGTGATATATTTCTACTCCCCACCTGTTGCAGTTTTTCCTGAAGGCCACACAGCTGGAGACCATGAAGCATGACTACGCAAAAGCCAACGAGCAAAAGTCCATCACCCTTGAGATCATCAGGCAGAAGGAAAGGGTATGAAGTGCCACACAACTTACTCTGTAACCCAAACTCTGCCTCTTCAACAAAACTACCGACATTTATGCATGATCAGTGCCAGTTTGACTGATCCATTTCCAATTATCAGTCACCTGAACTTCACTAATTATGTCAGAAGGCAAAAGTGTCCCCACCATTTACTCTTTCTCGTCCCTTTCCTTGACACCAGTCCTGTTGTGACCTATGTAAGAACAGTTCTCAAACATACTGTTACCATATTGCTGTTAAAAGAGCGATGTGTGCTTAGAAAACTTTAAAAGGGGGAATGCTCAGGGGTGGAAATAACCCATTGCCCGACGCCCGAGTCCAGTGTTTTTTTCTGTCGGGCAAGCACATTTGTATATCACGCTGTACTATCCCTGTTAAATCATTAATTCATGATTTAGTTATTTAGAGACAGCTGCAAAATGGTTGAAGTATTGCTGTGGCATTAAATGAAACATACCTTCATCCTTTGTACCATACACTTAGTTTTGGGTTACTACATGAACTCACGCTAATGGTTCACTGTGTTCATGCCAGGGAGACAGGGAGATTTCATCACCACTGCCTTCAGGGAAGAATGAGCAATTTGTTTCCACCTCTCCTGTGTACCTGTTGCTTTAGGACACCGACTGTTACACACATCTACCTTGTAACCTCAGTATCGTCATGTTCTGACACGCTGCAAATAATCATTTAGATGGAACTGAAATAAGTCTTTCCTCAAGTGAGCTGATAGACCAAAATCTGCCAGTAGATATGTTTTTGGTGTGCAAGTTGACATGTCCATTGTTTGGTGTCTTCACAGTCTCTGCCTGTCTTGGAGAAGGAGGTGATTGATTGGGAACACAAATTCAAAAGTTTGGATGCCATCGATGAACTGAAGAAGAAAGTCAAACATTTGAAGAATGAAATGGCTTGGTCTTTGGTTGCTGCAAAAGAAAGGGTGCCTATATAATTTTATCATTAATACTGTTCAAAATATGAAGTTTATACAAATTTCCACTCAAAGCAAATTAGGTTCTGGATGAAGTAATCCAGACACCCTGGATGACCCAATCCAAAACCTTATCCAAACACCATGGTTTACTTAATCCGGACACACTGGATAACTTGGACTCCAGACATACTGGCTGTCCTAATCTAGGACTCCCAGAAAGACCAAATCCAGACGCTGGTCAACCTAATCCAGACACCATAATCAACCCAATACAGGCACTCTGGTTGATCTAATCCACATGCTCTGGATGACTTACTCCAGGCACTCTGGTCGATCTATTCCAGACACCCTGGATGATTACTCCAGGCACTCTGGTCGATCTATTCCAGACACCCTGGATGACTTACTCCAGGCACTCTGGTCGATCTATTCCAGACACCCTGGATGACTTACTCCAGGCACTCTGGTCGCATCTATTCCAGACACCCTGAATGACTTACTCCAGGCACTCTGGTCGATCTATTCCAGACACCCTGGATGACTTACTCCAGGCACTCTGGTCGATCTATTCCAGACACCCTGGATGACTTACTCCAGGCACTCTGGTCGATCTATTCCAGACACCCTGGATGACTTACTCCAGGCACTCTGGTCGATCTATTCCAGACACCCTGGATGACTTACTCCAGGCACTCTGGTCGATCTAATCCAGACGCACTGGATGAAGTAATTCAGACACTGGTTATCCCAATACAGGCACTCTAGAAGACCTAATCCAGACACCCTTAATGGCAAATTTCAGACTCTCTGGTCACCTATTGTTTACACAATGGCACCCGTCTGCTTGTTTGCAGGGTTTGGAGCCCATCAAGAAGAAACTTGACCAGGAGGACTCCCGGACTCCCAAGTATCTAAAGAAGGTTGAGGAGGTGAAGGTAAAGCACCTACAACTTTTATTGACTCAAAAATGTATTTTTTGTTCTTTGTAATTTCTGATCTTACCCTTTTTTATACCATCTTCCACCATGTCGGCATAACACAGACAGCCAAGCTTTAATTCCTCAAAACAGAAGACTCCTGAATAGCCCATTTCCTTTAACATCTTCTTCAATCCAGCTTGCAATGTTACACCATTCACTCACTCACTCACTGTGTCATGATCTGGTAGGAGAACCTGGAGAAGCGTCAGCAAACACACAGACAGATCCAGGACCAAATCCTTGCCATCAGTGAGGAGGTACAGAAACTGGAACCACAGAGGAAACAGGCCAAGTCCAACATGCAGCAGGAGAGGGATGCAGCCAGACAGGCCCAGGTAGGTAGGCCATCATTGTATATAGAAGACCGCCTCCTTGGTGTAGTGGTTAGAGCTTCAGCCCGGAAGGACTGGTCGGCTCGGAGTCAGTATAATGTTTCTGAGTGGGGTATGCATGCTTCACTGCGGCATGGTATTTCAGTGAGCTAGCACTATAAAACCAGCTTCAGTCTGGGCTAGTACAAGCAGTCACACATGCAAAACACATGCACGTCATCATATGAGCGAAATATTCTCAAGCACGACGTTAAACCCAGTTTCACCTCACCTCACCTCATTGTATATAGACATACTGGCACAGGTGGGTAGACCATCATTGTATATATAGACATATGGGCACAGGTGGGTAGACCAGCATTGTATATATAGACATACTGACACAGGTGGGTAGACCAGCATTGTATATATAGACATACTGACACAGGTGGGTAGACCAGCATTGTATATATAGACATACTGACACAGGTGGGTAGACCAGCATTGTATATATAGACATACTGACACAGGTGGGGCAGACCATCATTGTATATATAGACATACTGACACAGGTGGGTAGACCATCATTGTATATATAGACATACTGACACAGGTGGGGCAGACCATCATTGTATATATAGACATACTGACACAGGTGGGTAGACCATCATTGTATATATAGACATACTGACACAGGTGGGTAGACCAGCATTGTATATATAGACATACTGACACAGGTGGGGCAGACCATCATTGTATATATAGACATACTGACACAGGTGGGGCAGACCATCATTGTATATATAGACATACTGACACAGGTGGGTAGACCAGCATTGTATATATAGACATACTGACACAGGTGGGGCAGACCATCATTGTATATATAGACATACTGACACAGGTGGGGCAGACCATCATTGTATATATAGACATACTGACACAGGTGGGTAGACCATCATTGTATATATAGACATACTGACACAGGTGGGTAGACCAGCATTGTATATATAGACATACTGACACAGGTGGGTAGACCAGCATTGTATATATAGACATACTGACACAGGTGGGGCAGACCATCATTGTATATATAGACATACTGACACAGGTGGGGCAGACCATCATTGTATATATAGACATACTGACACAGGTGGGGCAGACCATCATTGTATATATAGACATACTGACACAGGTGGGTAGACCAGCATTGTATATAGACATACTGACACAGGTGGGGCAGACCATCATTGTATATATAGACATACTGACACAGGTGGGGCAGACCATCATTGTATACTGACACAGGTGGGGCAGACCATCATTGTATATATAGACATACTGACACAGGTGGGTAGACCAGCATTGTATATATAGACATACTGACACAGGTGGGGCAGACCATCATTGTATATATAGACATACTGACACAGGTGGGGCAGACCATCATTGTATACTGACACAGGTGGGGCAGACCATCATTGTATATATAGACATACTGACACAGGTGGGGCAGACCATCATTGTATATATAGACATACTGACACAGGTGGGTAGACCATCATTGTATACTGACACAGGTGGGGCAGACCATCATTGTATATATAGACATACTGACACAGGTGGGGCAGACCATCATTGTATATATAGACATACTGACACAGGTGGGGCAGACCATCATTGTATACTGACACAGGTGGGGCAGACCATCATTGTATATATAGACATACTGACACAGGTGGGGCAGACCATCATTGTATATATAGACATACTGACACAGGTGGGGGCAGACCATCATTGTATACTGACACAGGTGGGGCAGACCATCATTGTATATATAGACATACTGACACAGGTGGGGCAGACCATCATTGTATATATAGACATACTGACACAGGTGGGGCAGACCATCATTGTATATATAGACATACTGACACAGGTGGGGCAGACCATCATTGTATACTGACACAGGTGGGGCAGACCATCATTGTATATATAGACATACTGACACAGGTAGGGGCAGACCATCATTGTATATATAGACATACTGACACAGGTGGGGCAGACCATCATTGTATATATAGACATACTGACACAGGTGGGGCAGACCATCATTGTATACTGACACAGGTGGGGCAGACCATCATTGTATATATAGACATACTGGACACAGGTGGGGCAGACCATCATTGTATATATATATACTGACATACTGACACAGGTGGGGCAGACCATCATTGTATACTGACACAGGTGGGGCAGACCATCATTGTATATATAGACATACTGACACAGGTGGGGCAGACCATCATTGTATATATAGACATACTGACACAGGTGGGGCAGACCATCATTGTATATATAGACATACTGACACAGGTGGGGCAGACCATCATTGTATACTGACACAGGTGGGGCAGACCATCATTGTATATATAGACATACTGACACAGGTGGGGCAGACCATCATTGTATATATAGACATACTGACACAGGTAAGGGGCAGACCATCATTGTATATATATAGACATACTGACACAGGTGGGGCAGACCATCATTGTATATATAGACATACTGACACAGGTGGGGCAGACCATCATTGTATACTGACACAGGTGGGGCAGACCATCATTGTATATATAGACATACTGACACAGGTGGGGCAGACCATCATTGTATACTGACACAGGTGGGGCAGACCATCATTGTATATATAGACATACTGACACAGGTGGGGCAGACCATCATTGTATATATAGACATACTGACACAGGTGGGGCAGACCATCATTGTATATATAGACATACTGACACAGGTGGGGCAGACCATCATTGTATATATAGACATACTGACACAGGTGGGTAGACCAGCATTGTATATATAGACATACTGACACAGGTGGGTAGACCAGCATTGTATATATAGACATACTGACACAGGTGGGTAGACCATCATTGTATATATAGACATACTGACACAGGTGGGTAGACCAGCATTGTATATATAGACATACTGACACAGGTGGGTAGACCAGCATTGTATACTGACACAGGTGGGTAGACCAGCATTGTATACTGACACAGGTGGGTAGACCAGCATTGTATACTGACACAGGTGGGTAGACCAGCATTGTATACTGACACAGGTGGGTAGACCAGCATTGTATACTGACACAGGTGGGTAGACCAGCATTGTATACTGACACAGGTGGGTAGACCAGCATTGTATACTGACACAGGTGGGTAGACCAGCATTGTATACTGACACAGGTGGGTAGACCAGCATTGTATACTGACACAGGTGGGTAGACCAGCATTGTATACTGACACAGGTGGGTAGACCAGCATTGTATACTGACACAGGTGGGTAGACCAGCATTGTATACTGACACAGGTGGGTAGACCAGCATTGTATACTGACACACATTGAAAACACAAAACCAAATTCAAATGAGGAAAACTTAACAAACAACAATACTTGGAGGAAAATTGTTCTACAAATATGTTGAGAATTTCATTGTGCTTCATTTTCATAAAAAATGAATGCAAGAGTTCCGCCAATATGACTGACAAGTCCAGCGTCACACATGTTCATGTTGCTGCCTGTAGACGCATTGTCTGCCATCTGCAAATGACACACAGAACCTGGACGCATTGAAAAACACCCACTGGTTGGAGATTCATGGTGGTTGGAGGCTATGTTGCTGTGCAAAAAGGAGTCTGTTGACTCGATGACGTTGCGTAATGACGTTTCCCGATATGGCCCCTTAGTGCCACAGCCTGCAGAAGTCAAATGACTGTCATGGCGCTGATGTGGCGTCCTTTACGTCCTACGGTGTTTCGGGTGAGTTTGCTGCTGTCTGAAAGCGGTTTCTTTGGTGAACTCGTTGGATGTGCTGGTCTGGATGTGCCGACGTGACCGGAGTTTGTCCTGGTCAGGGAGGCCACGGACGCTTCCAGTTTGCTGATAACGATTTTGTGGTCTGTTGATGGTGGATGGGCTCACTCCGAAGTGGTGGGTGACCTCATTTTGTGATGTTCCCACCAACAGCATCCCGATAGCTTGTTCCCTCTGCTGTTCACTGAGCCGTGGCATTGTGTGACTGCTAGTGAAACCATAGTGCCTTTTATGCGTCCAAAACCTGGCTTTGCATGTGTGTGTCATGATAATCATGCACCCCAACAGGTCCAAGGGATATGCCAGAGTTGTGTTTTCATGAACTGTACCCATGCCAGAAACACGAAAAGGGTTCGAACCCAAATGTGCATATGGTTTTATTCGGCAGCCTCACATCACTCTATTTTCGTGTGGTAAATGAAATTGCTTCACAAAACTTTGTTAGAACTTGCCAAAATGGGGTTTGCGTTTTCAATGTGTGTCAGTATATATAGACATACTGGCACAGGTAGGTAGACCAGCATTGTATATAGACATACTGGCCCAGGTGGGTAGACCAGCATTGTACATAGACATACAATGACCCAAGTGTGTAGACCAGCATTGTATATAGACAGACAGGTACAGGTAGGTAGACCAGCATTGTATATAGACATACAATGACCCAAGTGTGTAGACCAGCATTGTATATAGACAGACAGGTACAGGTAGGTAGACCAGCATTGTATGTGGACAGACAGGTAGAGGTAGGTAGACCAGCATTGTATATAGACAGACAGGTACAGGTAGGTAGACCAGCATTGTATATAGACAGACAGGTACAGGTGGGTAGACCAGCATTGTATATAGATAGACAGACAGGTACAGGTGGGTAGACCAGCATTGTATATAGATAGACAGACAGGTACAGGTAGGTAGACCAGCATTGTATATAGACAGACAGGTACAGGTGGGTAGACCAGCATTGTATATAGATAGACAGACAGGTACAGGTGGGTAGACCAGCATTGTATATAGACACACAGGTACATGTAGGTAGACCAGCATTGTATATAGACAGACAGGTACAGGTAGGTAGACCAGCATTGTATATAGACAGACAGGTACAGGTGGGTAGACCAGCATTGTATATAGATAGACAGACAGGTACAGGTGGGTAGACCAGCATTGTATATAGACACACAGGTACATGTAGGTAGACCAGCATTGTATATAGACAGACAGGTACAGGTAGGTAGACCAGCAATGTATATAGACAGACAGGTACATGTAGGTAGACCAGCATTGTATATAGACAGACAGGTACAGGTAGGTAGACCAGCATTGTATATAGACAGACAGGTACAGGTGGGTAGACCAGCATTGTATATAGATAGACAGACAGGTACAGGTGGGTAGACCAGCATTGTATATAGACACACAGGTACATGTAGGTAGACCAGCATTGTATATAGACAGACAGGTACAGGTAGGTAGACCAGCAATGTATATAGACAGACAGGTACAGGTGGGTAGACCAGCATTGTATATAGACAGACAGATACAGGTGGGTAGACCAGCATTGTATATAGACAGACAGATACAGGTGGGTAGACCAGCATTGTATATAGACAGACAGGTACAGGTAGGTAGACCAGCATTGTATATAGACAGACAGATACAGGTGGGTAGACCAGCATTGTATATAGACAGACAGGTACAGGTAGGTAGACCAGCATTGTATATAGACAGACAGGTACAGGTGGGTAGACCAGCATTGTATATAGACAGACAGGTACAGGTAGGTAGACCAGCATTGTATATAGACAGACAGGTACAGGTAGGTAGACCAGCATTGTATATAGATAGACAGACAGGTACAGGTGGGTAGACCAGCATTGTATATAGACAGACAGGTACAGGTAGGTAGACCAGCATTGTATATAGACAGACAGGTACAGGTAGGTAGACCAGCATTGTATATAGACAGACAGGTACAGGTAGGTAGACCAGCATTGTATATAGACAGACAGGCCCAGGATAGGCAGAATACTACCCAGGTGTCTGAACCACTGTTGATACAAGGATTACAGTTTAATGCATCATTAAGGGATGAATAATTGGCTTAAGTTTGAACACCAGCATTAATATTTTACAAAAATAAGTCTCTTGCCATTTTTAACTTTGTTCAATCTGACGCCATGAATATTCCTTTCAAAAATTGAATGGTATATGTATCTGGTTATGGTATTATTGCCAGTTGTTTATGCTGGCTAGACAAGAGGTTTGAGGGAAGATGTGTTGTGTGACGATGTAGTGTTATGATACAGAATGAAGTGAACAAGACTGAGAAGGACCTGCGAACCTGTTGCCGAGATCGGGACATGGTGAAAGAGAGGATCGAGGAGATCAAGAATAGGTAAATGTGATACTAGTGGCACAAATGTACTGAATGGAAGCCGAAAACCTCAAATATGGCATCCAGAGAGACGCACTAAGTACCAAGAGCATACCAACAGCGCACAAAGAGTAGTTACCTGTGTCGGTTACTGTAAACGTATTATTTTTCACGCAGGTTATATTTTCGCACTTATAGCGCGAAAATTTATACACCGCGAATAAACCTGTCATTCATTCAGTCTAGCCACGCTCGCCCCTGAGTTGTTACCATAACACATCAAGTTGAAGACAGAAATCTACGGGAATCTTAAAATGACGACTGATAGTAGCATAAAGAATCATACTTAACTGTTGCTGTAATGGATTTCCCAAATCATAATGAAATAATGAGCCAAATCCCATCGCCGAATTAGCAAAAACAGCAATGTGTGTTGTCGCCGCCATGGAAATTGGTCACGTGACAGATGGTTTGATACAAAACAGATTGCCATGAAACGACTCTGAAAGAAATAATACAGCAGTATTTTATTTATTCATTAAGATTTTATTTACCAGTACATCATGAAGCGAATAGTCACTTAACACTCAATCATCTCATTCACAACAATCCGGCTTGTTTGAAATCACAAAGAAATATACAGTAGAAGTTAATTCGTCAGAATTCGGAACATAAGACTGATGTGTTTGTCATCTCTTCCGTGAGTAAACGGATTACTGTGTACTAGTATATGGCACAGATAGGGATTTCCTGTGAGTAAGCAATAGACGCCGCCTGACAGGTTAAGCCACTCTGTTTGTTTTCACTGCTATAAGTGGCGGCCAAAGAGACAGCTGGCAGTTCCGGCAATTACTGATTGCACGAATAATTGACCGGGGGATGTAGTCTAAACTGTCAATTCCGCGAAAAGTGCACCACGCGAAAATAAGTACGTTTACAGTATTTTACCTGTTACTCATGATCACTGTCCACATGACCACTAATTCATTCCAGGGTCCGAAATAATTACTGGGTATCTAAACATACAGTACTCTACACCATTTGAGTACTTTTGTAAGCCGAGGTAAAACTGTGTTGTTGAACGAAATCAGAAGATATTAATATTATTTTTGATATCTATCGAATTATCTGGCTTGATATATTTCTGAAATGTGTCTCTGCAGCTGGACCAAAAAAAATAAATCTGATTTCATATCTGTCGTAGATATCTTATCGAGCTTGACATGTAACTTCTGATGATCTATTTTGTACTGAAACTATGTGACAGTGCCCAGCATGACTATGAGGCTGAGCGGCGGGCTCGGCAGGACAAGATTGACCAGCTAATGGAGAAATCCAGAGCACTGGAGGGACAGCAGAGAACCACAGACCACCAGAAGAACCAGTTCCGGGATGCTGTCACCAAGTACACCAATGATGGCTACACTCTCAGGTAGGTGCACAGCCGTCTATAGCTGAGTTCCGGGATGCTGTCACCAAGTACACCAATGATGGCTACACTCTCAGGTAGGTGCACAGCTGTCTATAGCTAAGTTCCGGGATGCTGTCACCAAGTACACCAATGATGGCTACACTCTCAGGTAGGTGCACAGCTGTCTATAGCTAAGTTCCGGGATGCTGTCACCAAGTACACCAATGATGGCTACACTCTCAGGTAGGTGCACAGCTGTCTATAGCTGAGTTCCTGGATGCTGTCACCAAGTACACCAATGATGGCTACACTCTCAGGTAGGTGCACAGCTGTCTATAGCTGAGTTCCGGGATGCTGTCACCAAGTACACCAATGATGGCTACACTCTCAGGTAGGTGCACAGCTGTCTATAGCTGAGTTCCGGGATGCTGTCACCAAGTACACCAATGATGGCTACACTCTCAGGTAGGTGCACAGCTGTCTATAGCTGAGTTCGGGATGCTGTCACCAAGTACACCAATGATGGCTACACTCTCAGGTAGGTGCACAGCTGTCTATAGCTGAGTTCCGGGATGCTGTCACCAAGTACACCAATGATGGCTACACTCCCAGGTAGGTGCACAGCCGTCTATAGCTGAGTTCCGGGATGCTGTCACCAAGTACACCAATGATGGCTACACTCTCAGGTAGGTGCACAGCTGTCTATAGCTGAGTTTATGGATGCATAAAGGTACATATGTACAATGAAGCATGACATATGAGATTATTGTGATGTGATGTGATGCACATTTGGCAGATTCTAACCCAAACTTGTTGGTTTCACCAAGGACGTAAAGCACTTTTAAAACTGGTGCAAACCAACAAGTAGCACATCTTGGAGAAACACTGTTCTCCCATCTTTCAATTTGATCAGGGCATGACTTGTGATGGTTTTGTTTATAGAATGAGCAGGGCATGACCTGTCGCTGTTCGGTTTCCATTCGAGATAAGCAGGGCATGACCTGTGGTTGTTGTTTTCAGGCGAGATGAGCAGGGCATGACCTGTGGTTGTTTTCAGGCGAGATGAGCAGGGCATGACCTGTTGGTGTTGTTTTTTCAGACAAGATGAGCAGGGCATGACCTGTGGTTGTTTTTTCAGGCGAGATGAGCAGGGCATGACCTGTTGGTGTTGTTTTTTCAGGCAAGATGAGCAGGGCATGACCTGTTGGTGTTGTTTTTCAGGCGAGATGAGCAGGGCATGACCTGTTGGTGTTGTTTTTTCAGGCGAGATGAGCAGGGCATGACCTGTTGGTGTTGTTTTTTCAGACAAGATGAGCAGGGCATGACCTGTGGTTGATTGTTTTCAGGCGAGATGAGCAGGGCATGACCTGTTGGTGTGTTTTTTCAGGCGAGATGAGCAGGGCATGACCTGTTGGTGTTGTTTTTTCAGGCGAGATGAGCAGGGCATGACCTGTGGTAGTTTTCAGGCGAGATGAGCAGGGCATGACCTGTCATTGTGTTTTTTCAGGCGAGATGAGCAGGGCATGACCTGTCGTGTTTTGAGGCGAGATGAGCAGGGCATGACCTGTCGTGTTTTGAGGCGAGATGAGCAGGGCATGACCTGTTGGTGTGTTTTTTTCAGGCGAGATGAGCAGGGCATGACCTGTTGGTGTTTTTTTTTCAGGCGAGATGAGCAGGGCATGACCTGTTGGTGTTGTTTTTTCAGGCGAGATGAGCAGGGCATGACCTGTGGTTGTTTTCAGGCGAGATGAGCAGGGCATGACCTGTCGTGTTTTTTCAGGCGAGATGAGCAGGGCATACAGGACAAGCAGGACAGTGACAGGCAGCAGCTCAAGATGTTGATGGCTGCTCGCAGTGACCGACTCAAGCGTTTTGGACAGTTTATCCCTAATATCGCCAAGCGGATAGATGAGTTCCACAGGAAGGGATATTTCCATGAGAAACCAAGAGGACCTCTAGGTACCATATTCCGTAGAGTAGAATCTACAATTAAAATAACAGAATACCAGAATATACTATTTTTTGTAAAATGATAGTTTCAGATAATGTTTTTTTCCAATCTTCGTATGAATGTTACAGATTATTGGGCATGTTTTTAAGTGAATCACCATTAGATGAGGAGAAACCTGTGTGCAGCTGATTGCTGTTTCCGACTCTGTTAATGAGACAAATATACACAGAAATCTGAATTGCATGTTACACAGTGTCATATATTTTATAACCAGAAATATTGTTGTTGCAAGGGTAACCTTTACATAAGCTGACCCTTTTTTGCAGAATGCATTTTGTAGTCCTCCCTCTTCAGCTTAACTGCCGTCATATACGGTAGTGATAGTGTTTAGGGGTGGAACAGTATGCTCTTACCAAAGTACGGTACATATTGCGGTTCCGATTTGGTGTATGAAAACTTACTTCCAGGAAAATAGCAGCCGTCTAGCAAAGAAATGCATAGATTTTGACAAAATGATTAGATTTCTAGACATTTTTTAAAAGATTAATAAAATGATGGTATGAAATTTTTTACATTGCTTTACGGTATGCAAAATACCACGGTTCTACTAATAACACGCTATACCGTTTCACCCCTGATAGGTGTTTCTGTTGCTTGATCAGATAGCAGGGATAATGAGTGTGTAGCACTTAAACCCATTGAGAGCGAATCTGCTACCACTTGTAATGAAACTAAGATAAGTTGCAAATTTTATTCAAAGTACATGATGTTGACTTGCTGTACTGTTTCTTATTATTCCCAACCGCCTCCATGGTGTAGTTGTTAGAGCGTCCGCCCAGAGAACGGAAGGTCTCAGGTTCGATCCCCGACCGCGTCATACCAAAACACATTAAAATATGGGACTTGTTGGTCCCTGCCTGGTGCTTGGCAATAATGGGTACAACAAGGACTGGTCGGCTCGGAGTCAGTATAATGTGTCTGAGTGGGGTATTCATGCTTCACTGCGGCATGATATCTCAGTGGGCTAGCACTATAAAACCAGCTTAAGTCTGGGCTAGTACAAGCAGCCGCACATACACATACACACGCATGCACATCATATGAGCGAATTATTCTTTTTCAGAGAGATCGTCCTTGGGGTACATATTAGGCATTTTCCGGCTGTAAAATGTCCTGTGACAGTTGTATCAATGTTTTTTGAATAAAAAGATTGTACAATAAATAAACTCTTTTATTTATTATACGGACCCTACCTCACGGAGTTACCTCCCTTAGCGCATGCGCACCAACTGGGTAGGCTCCTAGACCCGTATCATCATTCCTTCTGCTGTCACGGCCCTGAACAGACGCTCGTTGAGATTACCTTTCATGAGCCGCATGCACGGCGCTGTATTTTAAGATGTCTGAGACACCACCTGTATGTTTGGTTTTTATTTGTCTAAAACAATAACAGTAAAGCCTTACAGTGGTTGTTTCATAATTGTGACTTTGTATAAGTACTATCAAAATACGCAAACTTTCCCGTGGTTTACGCAAGTTTGCTCTGCCATGGCGGGAAGTTTAGCGTGCGGCGTGGTCGCAATATTGGCGCTTTAAAACCAACTATTACTTTCCGTTGGTAACCTTCAATGCATTTTTCAATGTTTTCTACGTGTTTATCTGCTGCTGGCCACAGTTAACTAACATGTTTACGTGTTTGTTTCAGGCTTTTACCTGTTGTTCGGTCTGTGGGGGAAGTATCCCCCGAGCTGACAGTCACTCCCAATGCGTGGCCTGTCTAGAGAAGACGGGCCATGTGGCTGATACATGTTCAATTTGTCTGGCCTTTTCCCCCCGGGCCCAGAAGAGGCGGGCGGCCGACACCCTGTTTTACCGCGAAGATGCGGAGGCGGAGGGGACCTGACGCAGGTTCCCCGCCAAAATCTAAACGGCCCAAAAAGGAAAAATCCCGTGGCCCTTCCCCCTCTACTACCACTTCGAGTGGTTTTGACATGTCACTAATGGAGTCGATGTTTCAGCAGCAGATGGACTCGATGAAGTCCTTCGTCCGTGAGTCGGTTGGAGGTCTCCGGCAGGAGTTCCTCGCCCACTCCGGACGGGGGGCGGAGAGTCCGGGGGTGGGATCGCCGCGCTCGGCTCGATCCCTCAGCCTTGAGGCGCCTGTCGATCCGCTGCCTCTGGCTTCGATCCGGACGCCTGGCTGCTCCGGGAGAGGAGGTGCTCCCAGTCCCCTCGAGCTTCTGCGCTGGGCCGCTGAGTATTCCTGGTATTCCGTCGCTGCGCGACACCCGCCTCATGAGAGCGGAGGCACCAGTTCTGCCTGGCCTGCCTCCAGCGCCTGGGACCGGGTCCACGCGACGCCGGCTGGCGCTGACGGAGCAGTCGGTCTGTTCCTCCCTTCCTGTGGTGCCCAGCTAGGCAGTCCACCGGGTCGGGTTAGGGTCCTCTTAACGGAGGAGACCCAGCCTCTGACTTCGGGCTCGGACGCCGAGGCAATGGAGCTCGGGAGGTCGAGGAGCATGACGGCAGCTTCCGCTTTGCTTCGGCCTTGGCGGGAGGTCCGGCAGAGAATTGCCGAGGGCCTACCCCAGGCAGCGGTGCCTGCTGGTTGCGTGGACTCGACTGAGTTCCGCTTGCCTGGTGAGGCGCTTTGCCCCTAGGCAACCCTCACAGACGCAGCTCCGCATTTCTGCCATCGCTGGTCGCCGGACGTGGTCGATCCCTCTTGTCTGGTACCCGGTGTCAGGTTTGACTTACCTGAACTCGCGGCGGCGGCTACCAGCTTGGGGAGGATTCCCCTGTTCGTCGTAATCGCATCGCTGACGAAGTGTGTTTCACTTCCGCCGCCTGGGGGAGGCTCGGCTTCCTCCGGAGCAGCTCCGGCTGCTCGGCAAGGGCGCCTCACTCCACCTTTTGCCCTGCGGCCTTGCGGCACGCTGCACCGACCCTACGAGGAGGTCTACCGAACGCCGATGCAGCAGGTGCGGTGGTGGTCCATGAGGCCTACCTCTCCTCGATACAGAGGTCGGCCCTGGAGGCGGAGGGGCATGCTGGCGACGTGTCGCCGCGATGTCGTGCTACTCCGTCAGCTGTCGGAAGTTCAGGCTCACCTGTAGCGACTCTTTGGCGGTCTGCTGCGTCGACGGTGATGTGCGCAGTCATGGGATGCGCAGGCTGTGGCTGTCGACGCCTAGGTACTCGGCAGCAACACAGCAGACCTTGCTGGCTCTCCCTTTCGTCTGGGAGCGACCCTCTTCCCGGGGCACAGCAGGTCATACGGGGAGGCTGCCGCTGCAGCTACCTCTCCTTCAAGGATTCTAAGGCCTTGTTGGAGCACCCGCTGGTGTCTGCGCCCAGCGCCGCCCCGCCACCTTCCTCCGCCGGGTGCAGCCTACACCGAAGTCTGCCGGCTGGCTTCGCCGCTTGGTAGGGGTAGGCGGAGGAGTAGGTCCGCCAAGGGTAGGGGCAAGGAGCAGTCTCGACTAGCTCCTGCCTTTCGCCTGGGCGCTGGAGGTCTGCCCGACCTCCGCTACCCAACAGGCTGCCGCTCAAGCCGTGTCACACCCAGTCAGCTCCGCTACTAGGGTCCACGCGACGCTTCCTACCCCATATCCTTAGTGGGAGGTCGCCTTCTCTATTCCTGCCGGAATGGGAGAAGGCTACCAACAACGCTTGGGTGCTGGCCACGGTCAGCATAGGCCATCTCCCACTGTGGAAGCGTAGGTCCGCCTCGACTTCACCGGCATACGACGCGACTCCGTGCCGGGCCATGCCAAGCCAGGGGCGGACATATTGCGCCGATCGGTTCAGGCTCTGCTGGACAAGTCCGCAATCGAAGCGATTCCACCGGGAGAGGAACAGGCGGGATTTTACTCCACGCATTTCCTCGGGTCTCCGAAGAAAGACGGCGGGTTCCGTCCGATTCTCAACCTCAAGGGGTTGAATCGCATGCTCGAAGTACCATCCTTCAAGATGGAGACACTGGCGCCGGTGATCTCATATCTGTTCAGCCCGGCGACATTCACGCCAATCAGTACACCTAAAGGATGATTCAGATACCCATACATCCCTCGCTCAAGCAGTACACCGGTTCTCTTACGACGGGATGTATTACCAATTCAGGGTGCTCCCCTTCGGCATATCGACTGCCCCAAGGGTGTTCACCAAGCTCATGTTAGTCCCAGCTACCCCTCGCCGCCGCTAGGAAGGCGTTGTTACCCTTACTCTAGACGACTTGGTTGCTCGGAGCACTAACACAGCCAGCGAAGTCAAGATGCTACTCACACAGTGATAGACATTCTAACTCGACTGGGGTGGATCATCAACCTCAAGAAATCCGACCTGGTACCCACCCAGGACTTGGTTTTTCTTGGAGCCGATTCCAAACGGTAACAAGGATCTCGCTTCCTTGTCGCCCGACCGGGTCACCAGAGTTCGAGGAGATGGTATCTTCATTCCTCTCCCAGCCCCAGGCACCAGCACGGACTTGGCCCGCCTACTGGGCCATATGGCGGCGAATGCATCTCTGTAGTGTGGCGGGCGCTGTTGAGGATGCTGGCCCCATACAGCAAGCTTTGCTCGGCTGTGGACTCACACGGAGGATCTGGAGCGCAGTCTCACAGTCCCCGAAAGTGGTTGACACCTCACCTTCAGTGGTGGACAAATGTCGGAATCTCACCAGGGGTTCCCCTTGAAATCCCGACGCCAGCTCTCACAGTTCAGACAGATGCGCCCCTCACGGGCTGGGGCGTTTGGCAGTTCGTCGGCTTCGGACTCTGGTCCGAAGTCGGGAAGCTCACCTTCACATCAACGCAGTTGGAGCTGAGAGCTGTGCGGTTGGTATTCGAAGCCAGAGAGAGCATGTCCGCGGCCAGGTAGTCCGTCTTCAGTTAGACAACCAGACGGCTATGTCGCATATCCTGAAGCAGGGAGGCACAGTGTCCCCAGCGCCCTCCGGAAGCGTGGACTTTCTCCTCTGGAGCCACCAGTACGATTGTCAGGTACTCCCCTGTTTATCTCCGGGGCTGGAGAACGGCGGCGAGCAGATGCGCCTTCTCGCCGGATCCTGGCCCCGCGACGAAGTGGATGCTCGACAGGCAGATATTCACAGTAATCTCCCAGTTGTAATGGGTCGCTCGAGGTGGATCTGTTTTATGCCCCGCGGGACGCATCAGACACCCGTGTTCTGCTCTCGATACCGACCAGAGGGCTGGGCTACGCCGACGCCTTCCTGCTGGATTGACGGGCAGTGCTCTGGCCTCTCGCCGCTACCACTCATTCCCTCGCGTCCTTTCACAGCTGTCCACCCAGCCAGCTCGCTACTTGTGCTACTGGCACCGCTTTGGCCCGTCACAGAGCTGGTTTCCGTAATTCTCAGGTTTCTGGCTCAGCCTCCTGTTCTATTACCTTTATGACCGGACATTCTCACTCAGAACGGAGCTTCCACCCAAATCCACGGATTCAGTGGGTGGCTTGGCCTCTGTCAGGTCTAACCTCGAGGCACGCCGGAATTCCTGCAGCAGTTGCAGACACAATTCTGGCTTCGGTATGGATTCGGACAAACGCTCAGTAATGAGGATAGGTGGTCCCGCCATGCGCCGCTGGTGTTCAGATAGGGGCATTGCAGATCCCTTTTCTGCGGATTTAGTCCGAGTATTGGAGTTTTTGCAAGCTCGCTTAAAAGAAGGCCTGGCGGCTTCGACCATTCGTGGGCTACTCCACCGCTATTTCCACTTTTCACACCCCTGTCGATGGTGCTCTTCTGGGGCAGCACCTCTCGCACAGCACTTTCTAGCTGGCGCTGAACGGATTCGACCTGCTCTCAGGCTGCAACCAGTCCACCTTTGGGATTTGTCGATCAAGGCTCGATTGGCTGTCCGGGTCCCACTTTCTCACACCTATCGGCTATTTCCATTCAGTTGTTGACCTGGAAAGCTGTGTTTCTGGTGGCGGTAAATATCTGGTCAAGAGTCGGCGATATACATGCTATGTCGTCCGACCCGCTGACTGTGTTTCACACGGATCGTGTCAGCATTCGCCTCCCAGATACTTTACCGACCGGCAAGGTCGATCACGCCTATGTGACAGCTCCTATCGAACTTCCTACTCTACCCAGCCTTCCACATCGGGACCACTCCACGAGCACTCACCCGCTGGATGTCCGTGAAGACGCCAAAGTCTATATCAAACGAACGCAGGGGATCCGCATCGGGTGCCCAGCTGTTCTGTTGTTACGGTGGCGAGGAAGGTTGGTCTGCCAGCGCAGCAAGCAAACTTTGTCTCGCTGGCTTGTTTCGGTATTTGTGCCGCTTTATCAGGCTAAGGGCAAGCCTCCCCTGAGGGGTTGAAGGCTCACTCGGTCAGGCAGCAGCCGCGATCAAAGCTTTTGCATCGGCACTCCCCATTGAAGAGATTCGCTCGGCCGCTATTTGGAGCCGCCAAGCACGCTTATATGCGCCACTATCAGCTCGACACGCATTCACGCAATCGTATAACTTTGGTCGCATCGTTCTCCAGTGGACAGTGTCCTGCCACCCTGACCAAGTGAGTCTTGGTTTATTGGTTTGTGTTGACGCTTACTGTACAATGATTCCATTATTGACATGTCTCCGCTACGAAAGCACTCAGAGAACCTGTACCCCTTTTCGATTCTCTGGAAGGAGTTACTATATCGCTAGTGAGTGGTATTTTTGTTTTCCCCACGGTGCTCTCATGAAGAAGCCACTTAGTGGGTCGGATTTCACGACATTCGCACTACGTGCAATGTCTCATTATGCTAGAGGTCGCTTTTTGAGTTAATAAATCCTCCCTGTCAGTTCCCTCCCATAATGCATCTCATGAAGCTTAAACTGGGTCGAGTGACAGGTGAGTGTTATGGCGCCTGTTCAATTTTTTTTCCATGATACCATCGCTATATTTTGTGTGTGCTTGGACAGAATTCCCTCCTCCCTGGCCTCCGTCTTTGGGAGTCTGTGTTTATGCATAATATGTTCCCCAGACTATCTTCTGAAAGAATTTCCCAAACCTGCAGAGGTTTTCAATCTTTTGAAGAGAGTTCGTCTTGGGTAGGGGCCCACCCACCTCCCCAAGCAATTCTGTTCACTGATGAGAATTCAGCAGAAGGAATGATGATAATGGTCTAGGAGCCTACCCAGTTGGTGCGCATGCTAAGGGAGGTAACCTCGGAGGTAGGGTCCGTGATAATAAATAAAAGAGTTTATTTATTGTACACCTTTTATTCAAAACATTGATATTAACTGTCACAGGACATTTTACAGCCGAAAATGCCTAATATGTACCCCCAATATTCCATTTTCAGTTGGATTTTCATGCTACATATTTCCTTCCCTTTCAGACTCAATATCATGACATCTCCAGATTTGTAAGTAACATTATAAAGTAATTGGCATTAAATTTTGAGATACATTAAATCATGTTGCAGCGTTATGTCATATTTGATATGCCGCCAGAGGTGTAGAAATCATAACAATTCAAATTTGGTTTGAGGTGTCGTACTCGTAACATCAGTTTGTTATCAAATTGTACTCGTCGCTGTCATGATACTAATACATTTAGATGGTGTAGAATTATGACCGATTTTCATGTTGATTTGTTTGTATTACCACAGAGCTAGTTTTGACAACAGCTGTGTATTGTGTATTGTTTCCTCCCTGCAGCGGGTCCAGAGTGAGCACCCCTGTATTCTGGACATGCTGAACATAGAGGACACTGTGGTGGCCAACACACTCATTGATCAGGTAGGTGGGGTTCCACAGGGGCCTACAGGTTGGAATGGGTCAGCAGCAGTATGTGCAGGTGACTGCCTGTGTCGCTTAGTCAGACTCATTGACTTGGTTTATTGGATCATTGTGCATAATATCAATCACTGGATTATCTGGCCCAGATTTGATCATTTTCATACATTGTCACAAAGCTGGAATACTGTGGAGTGCAAGAACCAAATTTAGAATATATTGTCACAAATGGACAACGCTTGATGAAACATGCGCTTGTTGATGCTTTAGGCATCCACATTATTAGTTGTAATTAGTGAGTTTGAAGGCTATTTGTCATCTTGTGAATACTTACCACTTCATTAGAATCTATGAATTAAGATGAGTATAGAGGTTTTGGAAGTCCTTACATAATGCTATAGCAGTATATGAAATAAGACCTCTCTGACAGCCTGTTACCTGGTAACTTTTGGAAGTTTTTTGTTTAAGTTTGCCATTTAAATAGACAAATTGTCACATTTGGGCTAGCTATTTTTCAAACTTGGTCCACCTTATGTTTCTGTCCCTGATTACAAGTCGTAACCCACGCTTGTCGTAAGAGGCGACCCGTGATGGTCCGGGTTAGGATGAACCTTCAGTAACCCATGCTTGTCGTAAGAGGCAACCCGTGATGGTCCAGGTTAGAATGAACCTTCAGTAACCCACGCTTGTCGTGAGAGGCGACCTGTGATGGTCCGGGTTAGAATGAACCTTCAGTAACCCATGCTTGTCGTAAGAGGCGACCCGTGAAGGTCCGGGTTAGAATGAACCTTCAGTAACCCATGCTTGTAAGAGGTGACTAACAAGATCGGGTGGTCAGGCTCGCTGACTTGGTTGACAGATGTCATTGGTTCCCAAATGCGCAGATCGATGCTCATGCTGTTGATCACTGGATTGTCTGGTTCAGACTCGATTATTAACAGACCGCCGCCATATATCTGGACTATTGCTCAGTGCGGTCTAAAACTAAAGTCACTCACTCACTCCATATTTTTGTTTATATGTTAAGTTTTATGATGATTTATGGACTGAGTGAAGGTTATTTCTTTGTCAGAGATCTGTTGAGAATATAATCCTCATAGCTGACAACAAGGAGGCAAGACGTGTCATGCAGCATTGCCCCCCACGGAACTGCAAGCAGGTACGGCTTCTATCTTCTGATTGTTGTTACTGTGTTCAGTATCCACATTGAGCAGCACAGAAGTGTGAGGTACACTTACTTTGTGAGCCAACAGTAGGTAGACACCCCACAAAATTAGGCAAGCTTTGACAAGGTTGGGTCTACACAGCATGTCCCTATTATGGAGGCATCGCTCATTGTTATGCAAACAATGTGACTTCCTTTGTATGTGGAGAGGTGCCACATTTCAAGCTCTCTCTTGTCCCAAAACATTAATTGAGCTGTCTAATGATTTGTATCATGATTTCTACCGAAAAGTGTATTGCACACATACATTGAATGTCGTAGTTACCTCAACACAGGAGTTTTAACTTATAAATGTATGTATCATTATTTTATAAACACATACAAGCATTCAGTGATTTAAAAGAAGTTATTTTATTCAGGCACAAGATTCTGAGGTGATTTTTACTTCAAACGAACTGTTTTATCAGAGATTGTGTTGGTGATTTGAAACTTATGGTCAGAATAGAGTAATCCATAGTAAAATGTCTGTTGTCTTGAATACAGCTGGGCAAGAAGTATGCCCTGTCATTGTCATCTAGTAATTCTCATCTTTCCTACACAAACTGAAATGTTTGTTCATAAGTTTCATTAAACCAAAGTCACTTGCCTCATATGCTCTTGTGAATTGATGCTACTTTAAGTACACAGGCCATTTTAACTTGGATTCAATAGATTTACCATCATATTTTGTCAGGCTTATACCAAGGTGGGAGATGAGATCTACTGTCACCCAACATTCAGGTATTACTCAGCCAATGTGGACAAAGCTCGCTACTTGACGGCCAATGTTGAGGAGGAGATAGCTCACTACGAGGGACAAATTCAGTCCTTGCAGGGAGAGTTGGATAAAGTGCGTCAGCGACGCAACAAACTGACAGAGGACATTCGGCGAAATAAAAGTGAAGGAAAAGAAATGCAACACTCAACTGATGAAGATAGAGGAGGCCATGCAGAATCTGCAGTTTGTGAGTTGATCAGAACAGTACTGACCAGGTGTCTGAATTATGGCATATTATGTCCCTCTGAGGACCTGGGTTCCATTCCCCACATGGGCACAATGTGTGAAGCCCATATCTGGTGTGTGTGTGTGTGTCTCTGTGTCTCTGTGTGTGTGTCTGTCTCTGTGTGTGTCATCTCTCTCTCTCTCTCTCTCTCTCTCTCTCTCTCTCTCTCTCTCAACATGAAAATATACTCTCTCACTCACCCCTGAACACGGGTGTAATGAAGAAGGGAGATAGTCCCATAGATATACAACTTCTCATATGACAGATGGAATTAAGATTGCTTAAAAGATTGAGTTGATGTTAGCAGTGGGGAAGTAATAATCTTGGTCTCTGATGGCTGGTTGGAATCTGCTGATGTGAATGGCTTCCTGATCTTGTGGCCTGATTGCTGACAAGTATGTTGATGTTGTGGTATCGGGAGATTGGATGTGGGTCAGCTTAATACAGTCTTCCCTGAGTTTTGTGTTGATTCTTGATTCTTACAGGAGGGATCATGATGTCACTAGGATGATATATTTGGCAAAACTTCGACCACACAGGTGCAGGCTACCATATAAATATATTTGGCAAAACTTCAGAACTTCACGACGCGCAGGTGCAGGCTACCATATAAAACAAGATGGTGGGCAATCATATATTTGGCTAAAACAAGATGGTGCAGGCTATCATATAAAATATGATGGTGGGCAATCATATATTTGGCAAAACTTCAAAATCCCTCCACATATATTGTAATTAAGAAGATGTACATGTATGTCCATAGAACTACCTCCCGTGTTCTTCACACTGACAAGTATATGAATTCTGATGTATAAACACGCCAGAGGTTCAACTATCAGATTATACACATATATTTGTTCATATTGCTACAGATGCTTTATAGAATAGTTATCACAATCATTTTGATTTCAGGAGATCAGTGAGCTGAAAAACGTGGAGGACCCAGCTCCGATCGACATCGCAACTCTGGTGAGTACTCATCAGTCTGACACGGCCCTTCATATCCTGGTTCATCATATCCTGGTTCATCATATCCTGGTTCATCATATCTTGATCTCACTGGCTGACAAGTCAGGCCAGCTTATATTTACTGGAGGATACAAGTGATCACATTAACACCTTGAACATCAGTGACAATAGATGTGTTGAATACATTGCCCAAAACCATCCAGATAAGTCCTAGTTGGTAGTACTACTATTAGAGCATTTGATATATTCACTCTACTGCTCAGTATGTTGATTTGAAAACACCTCTTGGCCCCCAGCTGTTGCAGACATATTTCAAACAAAGACATGTCATTTCGGTGGACCATGCAGGCAAAAGAGGGCCTTGAGGTTCTGTCATCATGATGATGTGTTTTATAAAAGTCTTGTAGAAGAAACTTTGACAGATAAGAAGGCTACTAATGGATATGTACAGATAACAGTTGTTTTAGGACCAAAATTGGAGCAGTAAAAATGTGCTTGGTCCTCTATTGTCTTGTAAGATACAGGTATTTTAAAGCCACAGTTGTGAACATTCTGCTTTTCTGATTTATGTTTTATGTATATAAAATAAAAATCACATGAGTGTTGAATTGTTAACCATACCCTTTGTAACCGTTTCATGCAGGAAGATGAAGTTTCAACGTATGATGAACAGATCTCAAATCTGAAAGAGAAGCGTGAGGAAGTGACTAAGATTAGTTCAGAGCAGCAACTTCAGTTGGTGGAGGTGGAGAAAGCATATCGTAACGTGGAAGGGAAACTAAAGTCTCTCACTGATAGTGCTGACCCCCTCAAGGTGAGAACTCAATGGTACAAATAGTGCTGACCCCTCAAGGTGAGAACTCAATGGTACAAATAGTGCTGACAGAACTCAATGGTACAAATAGTGCTGACCCCTCAAGGTGAGAACTCAATGGTACAAATAGTGCTGACCCCTCAAGGTGAGAACTCAATGGTACAAATAGTGCTGACCCCTCAAGGTGAGAACTCAATGGTACAAATAGTGCTGACCCCTCAAGGTGAGAACTCAATGGTACAAATAGTGCTGACCCCCTCAAGTTGAG